TCAACATGATCACCGTTTTTAATGAGCTAACTATCTTGTGGCGGAGAAGAGTAACATTCTAATCGATACATTCTAATCGATACATTCTAATTTGTGTAATGAAATAGATTATATGTGGGAGTTAAGAGATTTTTAAAAATCCAAAGAAAACACAGAGTGAACAGATTGGAAACCTTCTCTGATGAGGTAGCACTTGATAGGCATGGAGTTTATATGGGAAGGAAAGGAAAATATTCTTGTCAGAGGGAAAAGTGTAGAGACATGAAATAACCTTAGATATTCAGGGACTTCTTGGCATCATCATGGATAAATTAAAAATCCACGAGACTAGCCATGTAAAAAGTCTATCATTAACATTCGACAGCCTTCAACTTCCCACAATCCATTTCCACATTCATACCCTGGACTTTGTTCTTATTTCTTGTTCAACAAACATTTTTTGAGTGATTAACATATATAAGTAGGCACTGTGCTAGCTCTCAGGGGACAGTGTTAAAGGACAAATGAGATTCCTGCTCTCATGAGGAGAAACCAATAAAAAAATAAAAACTGGAAAATAGTCTAAAATGCCATGCACAGAATTAAACAAGATTATATAAGTGATAGGGAATGACTGACTGGTGGTGACTAGATAGGGTAGTTAAGGGGAACTTGTATGAGTTATTATTTAAGCTGAGACCCCCCCAAACCAGAAAGAATTAGCTATATGATGATTAGGGTAAAAATATTATAGTGTGAGGGTACATTTACTGCAAAGTTCATAAAATAGAAATGAGGACCAAGAGGAAGGCCAGTGAACTGATATATGGTGGGCAAGAGAGAAAGGATTATGTGATGATGTAAGAGAGGGAAGCAGGGCTTTGCAGGCCAGAGAAACAGGTTAAGATTTTATTGTAAAAGCAGTGGGGAGCCATTAGAGGGTTGTAAGTAGAAGACTGGCATGATCTAATTTATGGCTTTGAAAGGTTATTCTGGCTACTATGCAGAGAACGAATTGTGAGAGGCCAGAGTAAAAGCACAGAATCCAGTTAAATAGTACGGGGGAGGCATGAGAGGTCAAGGTTACTTTGACAAAGGTGGTAGGAAAAGATGTGGAAAGGTAGATGTGTTTGGAATATGTTTTGGAGGTAATAAAAACAAACCCTGTTGAGTTTTTATTTGGGGAAACAAAGCAGATGGTGGTCCAATTTACTGAGATACGCAGGAATGGGCTTAATTGGTTGAGAATGACAGTGAAACAAGAGTTTTGTTTTGGGCATGGTAAATTGGGGACACACAAATGGAAATGTCAGGTAAGCAGTTGTGAACCCGAAGTTCTGAGGAAAGTCAGACACAGCTACCATGTCTGTGTGCAGATTGTGCCCTGCACTTCTAGAGTTAAGAGTGTGTGTGTCCTAAAGAGCATCACTAACACAGATTTGGGAACCACTGGCCTAGAGATGGAATTAAAGTCACAGGAACGAATGAGACTTCAGCAAACTCAGGGTAATCATAACTTTTATTCAAAATGAAGCAATGACAAATTCATCTTTAATTCCTTATCACGAGCCACTTTAATTTATTCCAAAGCTCTAGTTCAATTTAAATTATCTTTTGATGATAAAATTGAATTTCAAATGAATGAATTCTTTTGTATAGGTCTTTGATGTGTAGTAAAATTTAAGACATTCTATCAGACTTGGAAAGTATTCAGTACTGATCTTTTGCAGATGTACAATAATATCACCTACTTCATTAATAATTGGTTATACCAATTTCCTATGTGTTCTTCAAATACTTCTGAGATTTTTGTGGCTTTGATTAGTTATATCTTTACATTAAATTTTTTATCAATCCAGAATTTATTTTAGTGTAAAGTGGGATGAAATAATCTAAATTTATTTCAAATCTTAGCTCTTTCAAAACACTTACTATATAAACCTAGGCTTTTCTTACGGATCTGAAATGCCATATGCTAAATTCCCAAGTGAATCTTGAGATCTAGTTCTGGAATCTCTATTCTGTTTCCAGTGATCTTATTCATGATCCAGATCATGTTTTTATGTCAAATTCAAATTGCATATAATCTAAAAGAACTTCCATGTTACATTATCTGTGTATTTATCAAGTTGCAATGAAAAATACTCTGCTAGTGTTCCATAAAGTTATTCTATGTTATAAAACAATTCCTATATTTGTTGAGCCATGTACTTTAGTTATACTTTAGCTGTCTTCTCTGCTTCATATTCTGTCAACATTTCCAGGCAAATTTAGAAAACGTTACTTTTTTTTAGATGTATTATAAACCTAAATGATTTATTTAAATCTTTTAGATTTATAAAAATATTATAAAAATAAAAGATTATAAAATGCTATTAAATTTTGAAGAAAAATACATGAAAAATAGCCAATTTTATAAAACAATTATGGAAAAAGAACTTTTAATTACCAAATATAAACATGGTGATAATATGAAAAAAAAAAGTATTTTTTCAGCTTTATTGCCAAGAAATAGAAGGAGCTTTATAATGTATAAAACTATGAAGAATTATATTGTCAATAAATGTGGTTTGGAGTTTCAGTTTTGTGCAGGAGACAGTTCCGATGATACAGCTGCAATGACAGGAAGATATTCTAGAGCAGTTATCAAGATGAATGAGCTTGCACTAGAATGTAAATGCGCACATTGCTTCCTTCATCAAGAAGTCTAACTTCAAAAAAGTCAATTGAGCTAACGAGTAACAAAATAGTAAAAGTTTTGAATTACATAAAAGCAATGTTAAATACAAGATTCTTCTCTCTATTATGTGATAATATAGAAACCGATAAATTCCTGTTGTTGCTTATTGAAGTACTGTGGTTATCAAGAAGAAAATTCTGTTGAGAAAGTCTAAATTCTTAATCTTCCTGCAAGGTGTTAAGAAACTAGTTTTGTTTAAACTCTGAAGAATTCTCAACTCTTTGAAGCTGTGAATTGGAAAGACTGAATTGCTTATTTGTCTGATATCTTTGGTGTTTTTAGTGATCATAATCCCTGTAAGAAAGAGATGCAACTGGCTTTTTAATGATAGATAATATCAAAGGTCACCTAGATGTCCCATGGGCACCTCAAATTCAACATATCCACAATTGAATACAGTGCTTCCCCTGCTGCCAAGTCCGTCCTTCCTCCTTTTCTTGATAATTAATTGTACCACCATCCACTTTAAAACCAGGTACCTGAAAATCAGTGTTCACTTGTCCTTTACCTTACATCTATATCCAGTCGCAGTCCAAGTTATGTTGGTTTTACTTACTTATCATCTTTCATATATATTCCTAATGGGGGATTGTTTCTACCTTGAGTTAGGCCCTGATTCTGTTACCTTGGACTTCTTTCTCTCCACTAAGCAGTCCATTCAATCAGCTGTTCACCAGAATATTCTTTCCAAATGCACATTTCTTCATCTTTTCTATTAAAAGCCTTTTATGAGCTCTCCTTTACCCATAGGAGAAATTCTAGTCTTTAGAGTGGCACCCAAAGCTCTCCACATTTGGACCCCGTTTCTCTCCAGCTTCAGATCTTAACAGTCTCCCAGAATGCCTCACTCCAGCCATACCTAACTGGGGGTGCTTGGAATCCGGTTTTGCTTCAGGCTTTTCTGCTTTCACTCACACTTGGAATTTCCTCCTACCATTTTTTTGGAAGACTTAATTATCTTTCAAGATTTAATTCAAACTTTATCACCTTTGGGTAGCATTTCCTATCTTCACCCACCCACAGAACTGACTATTCTTCCTTTGTATTCCTGTTGTGGACCCCTTTACTTTTTGCTACAGCACCCACAATACTGTATTATAACCATATGTTCACTTACTTCCCTTGTAGGCTGGAAGCTCCTTAAGTCAGGGACCTTGTCTTTTTCCTTTTATTCCTGGTATCTAAGCAATGCCTCTACAATTTAGGCACTCTGTAAAAACTCTTTGATGAATGAGTTAATGTGAGAAGTGTCAGAGGCACAATGGAAAAAGACGATAGTATTAAAACTGATTCAAAGGAAAACATAAGGCAATACAGTGATGAAAGTAAGGGGGCTTGGCTTTGTGTGGTGATTGAAGATGAGAGACATGGTAGGATTTGCTGGCTTTAAGCTTCTGACCAGAATTGTGGTATACGGTTAATTGCTGCAGAAGTACAGGTGGTATCTGAGGTCAAATGAAGTTGGCTGGATGTCATCTATTTTGCAAATATTAGCACACATATACCAAATTTTTGTAACAACACTGCATATATCTAGTGCTTTACAGTATATAAAATACTTTACTTCTATGATTTGACCCTTAGAACAGTTATCTTCAGTTTCCTTTTTTTGTAAAATGAAGATAATAGCTATTTCTTAAGATTGTTTATGAGATGTGTTGTATGTCTGGCACACAGTTGAGTACCAATCGTGTTGTTAGATCAGAAATTTGAAGCCCATAATGGTTAAATGACTTGCTTAAGGTCACCAAGATAATTTAATGGCAGATTTAGATATAAATTCTAGATCTTACTGTTTTTCTATTGTAATATTCTTTTTACTACACTAGAGTACAATGACAGATCTTGTATTTACTTGGTGCACAGCATCTTTAATTTCTTTGAGAGGCTTACCCAAAAGCAGGCTTGCAGATTACTGTCAGAGAGCTGATTGCCAAAATCAAACAAAATTTAAAACTCGGCTAAAACCAAAATGCTAAAATAAACAATATTTTTATAGCTTGTTTTGCTTCCTAGTCTATTTTGCACTTGACGGTTTTCAGTAGAGGATCTGAGCAGGCTAGCTTCTGCCTCCGTGCAGTTCTGTGGAGATGTGCTCTCATTTTAGTTGATTTTTAAAAAATTGTTTTTAAGTCCAGTTTTAGGCCAGAGCAAGTGTTAGTTTGGGGCCCTGGAATTAAGGTAACAGGCATCTGAAGTAGGAAATGGAACAGAAGGACAATGAATCTGAGCTGAAGCAAACACTGACAGTCTCACCAATCTGTCCTTGTGTTTTCTGTAGAGTTCTGTCCAGGAAGAATCTAAAGCCACAAAATATGAACTGGAGATGAAATTATTAAGTGAAACAGTTTCAGCAGGTATTCTTCTAACTTATATTTTTAGATTTAATTTTATTTGAATTTTCTGCTTACAAAAGAAATGGAGTCATTGTAAAAAAAATTCAGATGTTGCAGAAATATATTTAAAATGAAAATTCTTCATAATCCCTCTTCTGAGAACCAGTGTTAACAAATTTATTTGTGCTCACTTTTGCTCCCCCTCTTGATTTTTAATAAAACCATGGGATCATATCATACAGATATTTTTGTTGAAAATTACTTTTTTTCACCTAACATTTGTTACTCTGCATAACATTTTATATACATACATAGAACACAGTACATATTCTACTTAAATGAATAATATTCAATGTTATTCTAAGTCAGAATACATTAGGACCCTTACTTTTTTTAGTAGCTGTATAATTCCTCCTAATAATGGAATATTATTTAAAGCGTTAGTGATAGACAGGAAGGTTACTTCTAATTTTTTATTACAATGTTACAATGAACATTCACATACACACATATATACAATCAGAAATTTCTCAGCACTTTTATATTGTCTTATCCTGGCAAATAGCAATTGGATATAGTTACAAAATGTCAATATGGCAGTGGTGTTTAATTTGCAAATCTTTTAGTTTAAGATTTATGTATATCTCTTCCATTAACTTTATCATTATGCTTCTTTCCCAGTAACTTCCAAGGAATCTATTTTCTACATATTTCTTAGCATATTTTTTCACAACAGGCTTCTTGTCTGCTGCTTTACTTTTTTCAAAACACTGTTGTTTCTGCAGTCAACTAGGTCTATATCTTTATCATTTTCTATAACCTTTACGAGGTAATTTTCCTGTTAGAAATATGATACTAAAGTCAATTCATGAACCTCTGTCAGTAATACCAAGGTTTTCTACATGACAATTCCTGAATAATGCCTTTCATAAATGTCTAAATTTGGATACACTATTTTTTCTTAGTTTTCAGATACATTGATTATTTCGATACATTTGAGAATTAAAGTCTGCATATTATTGAATGTACACAAGGAGAAAAGTGAAATCGCTTAACTGGAATTTTCTTTAGCTATTTTCATTAATTTTCAGTGCCTGAATCCAGGGATTAAATTCAGTGCCATCTCCATGTGCTTCCTTTTATGGGGGAGGAAAATCATAATAATAAATAATAAGGCTAACAGTTCCTGAGTTTTTACAGTGTCTGGCACGAATTCTGAGCTCTTTATATGCATGAAATCATAACTCCCCCAAGTAGTATAAGATACTATTATTATAGCCATTTTGTAGAGGAAGGAACTGAGAGTAGGGATGTTAATTAGCATATTTTGCATAAGGTCATACAGCTAATAAGGGTGGGACCTGTAAGTGGTCTGGTTTCCATTTCTTATCCATTACACTATATTGAAATAAGTGGTGAAAGGTAGGAATAGTCCCAGTGCTGTGACTTCACATAGTCCCCTGATTGTGCATTGTGAATTATGGGATCATAGAATTTCCCCATAAAATTAAAAACACAAGAGATTATCCAATCCAGTTTCTTCACTTTCATGTCCCCATTCCTGTTTTTCTATGAGCTGGGCCTATTTTTGTTGAAAAAAAATTAGCTTTAATTTTCTATATGGACCAATTTTTTTATTTTTTTTTTACCATTTCAGATATTTAGCCCCATAATGTCCAATTTTAAAAAAATTAATTTAGCAATTATCAGATTTTGTGTTAAACCATTTTTTTGGATCTTTTAGGTTGAAGGGCAGCAGAATATACCACCCCCAAATATGCCTCTTTGGCATGAGGATTATTTTGAGCTGTAAGCAATTGAAAAGATACAGATGCAAGAAAAGCTCCCTGCCCTTCTTTTTTCCTAAAAGTAGAACACAGATTTTCAAAGGTGTCTCTCCTTGCCTCACAGACAGCTTTAGTCCCTATCAGCCTGGAGAGGGCACCAGAGGAGTCTGCATAACAAACTTTTCTAACTAGCCTTTATGCTCCCCTCTGGAAGCCTAAGCTGCTTTCCTCTGTCCTTTCTCAACAAATTTATTGTTCTTTGTTGAAAATGCTGTATAACCTGAAGTTCTAGGCCACCTCTTTGAATTACTCATTTTTCCCCGGGGCTCTCCCAAGTATACAGAAGGCTATGTGTTAATAAACTTCTGTTTTTCTCTTGTTAATCCTTTATTACAAGACTCTCAGACAAGAGATCAGAAGGGTAGAAGGAAATTTTTCCTTCCCTACAATAAAATATACTTTTTGTTTTTATTTCAATAATGACATATGCTTATTATATACAAATTCCTAAAATGCTAGTACATAAAATATAAATGGAGCCCTCCTCTGCATCCTACCATTACACACGTCTGTTCCCAGTGCAGAGGTTAGCTTTGTGAAGGGTTTTGCATCAACCACTTTTTGAAAAGTTTTGGTAGCCGAATAAAAACTTTCTTTAGCAGTACCAGCTTTCATTTCCCTTCTAAAAAAATACAAAAATGCTATGATCTATTTAGTAATTAAATTAATCTGATTAATTTTAGCGCAGTTGTTGCTGATTGAGAATACTTCTGAAAAGCCATATTTCTTTGAAGATGATGAGGTTGATACATGCCAATTCACAATGCTGGGTGGAGTGTATCACTTGGATATTTTGGAGCTTCCCCCACAGTGCAAACCAGTGAAGGGCTGGATGATTATGGAAGTAGGTTGATTCTTAAATCGAAATTTTTGAGTAAAATAATTTCTCACACTTTTACATCAAATGCTTTAACATCTAATGAACTAATTGTGAACCATCTTGGATTTATAAAATTTGAATCAATACTAAAGGAAAGGCATCTAAAATAATACAGACTTTAAAACTAGAATTCATGAATGTTAACTGTAAACCTATAGCACTATGTTTAGATTGTGCCAATTTGGCCTTTAATGAGTCTATATCAGAGACTGGAAACTTCTTCTGTAAAGGGCCAAATGGTAACTATTTTCTGCTTTGTGGGCCATACCAGCTCTGTTGCAACTCTTTAACCCCACCATTGTAACACTAAAACAGCCACATGCAAATGTGGGCATGGCTGTTCCAGTTAAACTTTATTTACAGAAACTGGTGATGGGCCAGATTTTCCAGGGACTATAATTTGTGGACTCCGGTCTAGATTAGCAGTTTCCAACGTGCAGTCCCTTGATCAGAAGGATCAACATTACCTGCCGTCACCTGGGAATTTTCTAGAAATGTAAATTCTTGGGAAATGTAAATCCTCAGTCTTATTGAATCAGAAATTCTGGAAGTGTGAGGCTCAGCTGTCTGTGTTTCAGCAAAATGCTAAAGTTTGAGAACAATTGTTCTGGATCCTTGATATATAAAATGTGGTCCATGACTCAGCAGCGTCAGCAGCGTCTGGGAACTTATTATAGATGCATAATTTGTGGCTTTGCCTCAGATCTACTGAATCTGCATTTTAACAAGCCCCTCAGGTGATTTGTATGCGTATTAAGAAGCGCAGTTCCAGGTGATGCCAATGCCACTTGACGCACAGACCACACTTTGAGTAGTAAGGATACTTACTGATGATGGCAGTTGTCAAGTCATCTTTCAAGGAGTTTCTCATTCCTGTTTCAATAAGTAGTAATGTTTGCACTAGTATTGACTTGGTTTAACCTCACCTCATGGTGGCTCGTGTCCTAAATATACTCAGTTATGCTGTTATAGCCTCTTCCTCCTTCTTGCTTTCCTGTCCTTTTCTCCCTCCTTTCCTTTTTCCCTCTCCTTCTTTTTCTTTTCTAACACATCATGTACAAAGATCGCCAGGTACTTCCCACTCACGATCCCATCCATTTAGGATGTTGGTACATTCTTGTATTAGAGCAATATATCTCAACTTTTCTCCCCCATTATCATTTCTCTGAGGTGCTTTTTTAATCTTTTTTTTTTCTAACTTCCCCGTCCATGAAATTTTAATACCACAGATATACTGTATATCTGTGTATGTGCTTTATACTTAAAAGAATAAAATTTTTCATAACCCCCCCAAACTAATTTTTACCCTATTGGGGATGATATTGCCATTCCTTTTCCCTTCTCCCCACAAATGAAAATGTATTTATTATAGCAAGCCTGGGGGAGATAATCTGGTCTATAGGCTCTTCGAAGAATCTATTTGAATCAACTTTCACTACATTGGGAATACTTGAAGGACAGTGTGGAGTCCAAGAAAGACATTCCTTTGGTGAAGGTAGGCCTTCAAAACTCCCTTTACAGGTCGCAGCCTCAACTAGGGTTTTCAAAGATTCATCTAAAGATGTTCTTGAATTTTGTCAGAATGTCCTAATACCACCACACCATGCTCTCCATGAGCCCAGAGTGTCCTTCTTCCGTCATACCTATTTTTCTCTCCTGCAACAGAGGCCTTCCTCTTTTTTTTCAAGTATCTTTTCCATAATTTCCTCCCTCATCTAGAATTTTTCTCCATCCAGTTTTTTCTTCTATTTTGTAACACTGTTGATATTTTTAATCTTCTCTCTTCCCTAGAGCCTTATTCTGTTACATTCAGATAATGGACAAATCTCCCTCATCCCAGAGAAACCTGCTGTGGGTTTGATTTACTTTTTTTTCCTCCCAGCATTACTGAGATGTAATTGACATGTAACATTGTGTAAGTTTACAGTATACAATGTGATGATTTTTATTCATCCATTCATTTCTACACTTCTCAAAAGGTTGCTTATACTTCTCTCTTATACTCCCTAACCAAAGTATGAGAGCATGGAATTTGGGGTTCCTGTAGCTCTGTGTTTGAGTTTTGATGCCTCCTTGAAGTCACTTTGTAATCTTTGACAAATTATTTGATTTATCTAAGTCCCAGTTATCTTCTCAGTTAAATATATACCTTGTATGCTTGCTGGCAGAAATGAGTAAGCTGCAACATAGAATGTGGCCCATGGCGGGGTCCTGAAATTCCATTTAATTTAGTGATTTTTTCCGCCTCAATCATTATGTTAATTTTGTTGTGACATTTTGTTAGCCTATAGTTATATGGGACACTTCAATGTTTATTAAAAATAACTGTGTAGCTTATCCAGCAACGTTTACATCTTTAACTATTACCAGTCAGCTTCTAACTTGGTGTTTTGGTCACTTTTAATAGATACTCAAAGAAGGATTACAGAAATACATATATCCTCCAGGAACTACAGAAGACTTTGAAACAGAAAATGCTTTCCCACCAGTAGAGGTCATTCTTGAAGTTCATGAGAATGTGATCTTTTTTGAGAACCCTATGGTTGCAAGGTGGGATGCTGAAGGTACAGCAATGCCTTAACCAGCTTTGATAATGATGTAGTGCAAAAGGTATAATAGATATCTTTGAATCAAAACAGAAAATAAGTGTGGAAACTAAGTTTCTAATCTTACACATTTCTATGCCAATTCCAGGGTCTCTGTTTTATTTACCCTCGATGAAAATGAATAAAGATTGGAATTTTAAAATTTATTGAATTTTATAACTCCTAGTTCCAAAAGTGTTTATATTTGCCATAATCTCTAAAGAATTACTTTATGGTTGTATAATTCTTTTTTTAAAAAAAGAAATGAACAAAAATATCAAGATAGTATAGCAAATCAAAAACAAGTGAAAAGCCCACTGTGTCCTGAGATGACTAAATAATTCAGATTGGGATTAAAATGATTATTTTTTTGTAGCTTTATTCAGACAATTTACATACCATAACATTCGCCCTTTAAAGTGGTTTTTAGTATATTCAGAGTCATGCATTGATCACTACCTAATACCAGAACCTATTTATCTCCCCCCCAAAAGAAACCCCATGTTTATTAGCAGTCACTTCTCATTGTCTCCTCCCCACCCCCAGCCTCTGGCAACTACTAATCTCTTTCCTGTTTTATAGATTTTCCTATTCTGGACATTTCATATAAATAAAATCATATAATCATATGTGTGACATTTTATACCTGGCTTCTTTCACATAGTATACTGTTTTCAAGGTTCACTCATGTCGTAGCATGGATCAGCACTTCATTCCTTTTTATGGCTAATATTCCATTATATGAACATGTCACATTTGGTTTAACTATTCATCAACTGATGGACATTTGGGTTATTTTACCTTTTGGCTATTATGAATAATGCTGCTATAAACATTCATGTACAGGTTTTTGGGGAGGCTTATGTTTTCAGTTCCCTTGGGTACACACTTAGGCGTGGAATGACTGGATTATGTGGTAACTTTGTTTATCCATTTGGATGACTACTAGACTGTTTTCCACAGGGGCTGCATCATTTTACATTTCTACCAGCAATGCACAAGGGTTCCAATTTCTATACATCTTTGCCGACATTTGTTACTGTCTTTTAAATGTCTATTTTGCAACTACATTTGAAGATTTTGATTATTTTAATGTTAATAATTTATAAATTGCAAAGCAAGTATTGGGGATGGGACGTGAGTAAATGGGAAACCCGAAAGAGGAAAACTGGCTACTGTATGCCTCTTTATTACTTTTGATTGTTGATCCTTAGGAAACCATTGCTTATTCAAAATGTTAAATGTTTCAATAAATCAAAAATACTAAAAGAAATACAAATTAATGATTCACTAATCATGAACAAATACCTATATTGCATTGGCTGGCTAAATTTTTGAAAGGTCTTGGTCTTGTAAATTAATGTATGCAGTTTGGGATCCTAGATGAAAGCTGTATAGCTTTGTTTTTAACGTGAGTTATTTTACATCCATCTATTCGTGAAAGGATTTACATATCTGATGATAGATTGGGAACAGTTAAGATCACTAAAACACTCAGTTATTTATTTAGTTACGGGGGCAGAAAATTTTGTAAACTTTTTTATGATTGCTATAATACTGCACATTATTGCTTGTGTAGACATATCTACAAGATAGTCTATATTCTAGAAATAGTTTTTATATTGTAAACAGTATATTTCTATCAATACATACATTAAACTATAAAATATAATGGACAATTAGGTAATTTCTTCTTTTCACATTGCTTTAGAGGTTTCTCTTTTTCTCTCCTTTAATGGTAATGTTCCCAATATTTAGCACAGCAGAAATTATTCACACTAAATTAGAATTAGACAAGGTAAGTTATCCACACAATTTAGGGAAATATAATTTGTAAAATTTGACTCCAACCACAGTAATCAGTCAGCTTACAATATTTTTAAAACCATGGGGAAACTTTTTGCCTGGAATTACTAGAAATTTAAAGAATCTTTTTAAAGGCAATACTTAACTTTTACATATTAAAATAATTTTGTTAATGTAAAAACAAAGAGGAATTATAAATAACTTAGTTTGTCAATATAATTGTATTTGTTATATCAAATTTAAGAGTCAAAAATAGTCAGCAGACCCCTGCATGTGAGGAGAAAGCAAACTGGAAATTGAGAGGGCATTCTAGGAAAAAGATTCATTCATTTGTTCCACAAATATGCTAAACAATAAGTAGATAAATAGGTTCTTTCCTCTGTGAGTTTTCAGTTACAAGAGAGGCAGATTTAGAAAAACATAGTATAGTGTATAAGGTGCTATTGTTGATAAAAGTGATATAGAGAAGAACTGTGACTGGGTCAATCAGGAAGTTAACAGAGGCTTCTTATAGGATGAAATTTTGAACAGGCCTTCAGAGACAGAGATCATTCGCATGGACATTTTTATGTGTGCATGTTTTCATTTCTCTTGGGTGAATACTGAGGAGCAGAATTGCTGAGTTGAATGGTAAACTTATATTTAACTTTTGAGAAACTACGAAAATGTTTTTCACAGTAGCAGTACCAGTTTACATGTCTGCCAGCAATATATGGTTTCCATTTCTCTACATCCTCGCCAACATTCATTACTATCTGTGTGTTTGATTATAGCTATACTAGTAGGTGTGAAGTGTTTTGTGGTTTTAATTTGTTTCCATAATGACCAATAATGTTGAGTATCTTTTTTATGTATTTACTATCCTATCATATATCGTCTTTGGTGAAGTGTTTATTCACATCTTTTGCTCATTTTTAAATTTGGTTATGTTTTATTATTCAGTTGTAAGAGACACAGAGACCACCTATTATGTGATAGTATTTATATAAAAAGTCCAGGAAAGCAAATCTGTAGAGACAGGAAATATATTAATGGCTGCCTGGGGCTGGAGGTGGTAATGGGAATTGACTATAGGTGGACATGAGGGAACTTATCAGGGGGCTAATAATGTTCTAAAACTGGATTGTGGTGATGGTTGCACAACGGGGTAAATTTACTTAAAATAATTTAATTGTATATTTAAGACAGGTGAATTTTGAAGTTGTTCTTAAAAAGATGGAGATGTTCTCTAAAAGATTAAGGAAGAATAGGAAGAAAGAACGGCATGTTCAGAGGTATAAGGTTGTTGGGGAAGGGGAAAAAAGGTGTGACTGAAAACAGGTGTGAGAAGTAGTAAGGGACAAGCCAGCAGTGTGAGTCAAAGCTTCAGTCAAAAGTCTTACACAGCATGCCAAGTAGTTTGGACTTGATCCTGTAGACAGGAAGAAACATTCAGTAAAGCTGGCTTTTTGTCGAGATTCAGTTTTAAATGTAAAAGATCAATTCATATTATACTGCAGTCATGGCTGGTTTCATTTATCTTATTTTTGTATAGAAAAAAATGAAACTAATGTCACTTTATTATCATTAAAGGTAAACATTGGAAAACTGATGGCATCAGCAATGTATCTTACAAATCAAGAGAAAGACTTATAACATTCAATCTGGAAACTTTTGGCCCTATTACCTTGATTCAAGATACTCATATTAACATGCCATACCAATCATGGGAACTAAGACCACTTGATGTGAATAAAGTACTTTTGACTGTGATCACAGTGTTTACTGAGATTCAAATACAAATTAAGGTAAATCACTGTTATAACAAGTCATATCCAAGAGTAAAGCTCTTTGATGACTGTGAGAATTTGTCAAAGCAATCAATTACTGATGATTTACATACTGATTTACATATTTATAAATATATTTAATATATACCTTGAGCTGTAATTTCTAAATTAAATATTAATTGGATAGGAAATAACATGTAAAAAGTGAGGCACAAATTTATACCCTAAGTTACTAGGAATAGAATTAATGTAGTTACAAGCCTGGTTGTAATATGAGACCTTTTGACCCACTCTCTAGAGGCTTTCTGATCTTCATCACCCAGCCATTTGAAATCCCCTCTGAGGTTTCTCTGAATGAGCCTCATATTGCTCATCAGTCAAAAATTACATCGCTTGAAATTTAGACAAAAAGTAGATTAGTGGTTGGTTGCCTAAGTCAGAGGGTGGGAACAGGGATTAACTGTGAATTGGCATGAAAGACCTTACTGCGGTAGAGGAGATGAAACTATTCTAAAACTGATTTATGGTGTTAGCTGCAAAACTCAGTTAAGAAAAATTATTGGATTATGTACTTGAAATGGGTGAATTTTATGACATATAAAATATATGTAAAATTATTTTAAGAGATAGCCTGAAATTCCTTATGAATGTGATAAGAAGACTGGAATATCATCAAACTTTGCTAACTTTAAAACTGGATAACAGTTTTACATTATTATGTTAAATCTTGTATGTGTAAAAAATTCTGCTCCTTAAGTTTCAACAATTGCTATCAAATAACTATTATGATTCAGTATGAACAGATACAGTATTCTTAGATCATAACTTACAAAATAGGAGACCTGCAAGATCCTTTAGTCAATTCCTTTATTGTTGTGATAAAGCCTCAAAAGAGTTGATAAACTGCTTAAGGTAACACAGAGACTGTGGCAGAACATATCTGTCCTGCATTCTTTTTAGTATAAAATGATACAGGATTTTTAAAAGGGGTATAAACCTAAAGGCTGGAACCAGAATGATAATGAAGTAATAATTTTTTAACTTACTCATATAAAAGCTTCATTTTCTTATTGAAACTAGGAAGACCTCTGCATGTTAGCTTCAATAAAACTAGATGACAAAAAGCATCCCTCTGTTTTGGAAGGAAAATGGATGAATCCTATTTCTTTCATTATTGCTTTGAAAGAAGCTGGACTGAATATCTTCCCTACTGGACACTCTCATTTTTATGTTGTTATAAACCATAAGGTAAGAATGAGTCTTTCCAAATTTAATGTAATGGACATTCAAAATTCTAGCAGGTGCTAACTTTTATATAAATCTTAAGATACATCATGGGTTTTCTATATTCGCTTATACAAGATTGTAGTTAAAAAGGAATACATGGAAAGACCAGAAATTCAGGGTTCTCTCAAGTTTAATAACCATCTCCAAGAAAGCAAGCCTGTAGTATGATCTTCATATTGACAAATGGAGCACATCCAAGGCTGGTTGGTTTAGTGCAAAAGCAATCGGAGCAACTTTGCATGTTGTATATTTTCTTTCTTCTTCCAGACTGGATATATATAAGATTGCTTAAAAGAGTAAATGACTCAGCAGTTTCCCAAACATAAGTCAGGTGAAATCAAACACATACAAACAAGGACCACTGTATACACAAAACTCACTTCCTCCTCTTTTTTGGCAAAGCCTCCCTGTCAGCATAGTGCTTTGTGTTTCTCATAGGTCTTTAGTTAAATGAGATGCTTGAGGGTGGGGAGTGTTTCTTAATCGGCTTTGATTCTTCTAGCACCTATCATATTCCTAGAATATAGATGTTCGGTAAATATTTATGACATATGAAGACAAAGTAGCTTCTAATCATGAAAGGTCTTTTAGGCCAAAGAGTTCTATACTCAAGAACAAGTTTATAATACACCAGAAAATAACAATATAGGTAGACATAGAACATCTGAGAATAATCATATCCATAACAGTGTATACATATATGTGTAGGAAAAAAACCTCAGTTTTAGTGACTTAAATTCCTGGCTACTCTATAAATGCTGACTGTAGTGCACTATTCATCTTTTCAGAATATTCAAAAATTTCTTTTTCTGAACACCTGTGTTCTAGATGCTTAGGATATATTAGTGAATAAACAAAAGTCCCTGCCCTTGTGGAGCTTATATCTTAGTAGAGGGAGGCAGAAATAAGCAATAAACATAAAAAATTATCTCCTATGTCAAGAGGTAGACAAAGTACTAAAGAAAAAATAAAAGGTAGAACAGAAATACTGGGGTTAGGGCAGCATACAATATCAATTAAGGTATTGGTCAAGGGGGGCTCAATGAGAAGGTAAGATTTGAGCAAAATGTGAAGTTGGAGAATTTAGCCAAGTGGACATCTCAGGAAGCAGCTTCTAGGCTGAGTGGCCTGGTGTGTTTGAAGACTGAAAGAACAGCAAAGTGGCCAGGTACGTGGAACTGGGAGAGCACAGGGAGAGGACAAGGTCAGACAGATAATGGGGTGCATGTGAGGGAATGTCAGATCATGCAGGCCTTGTAGATCACTGGATTCTATTCTGAGAGAAAAGGAAAGCCATAGCTCTGTTTTGAAAGAGGAGTCATATAATCTTACATTTTAAATGCCTCTTTCTGTGTGGAGAACAGACTGTAGGAAGCTGAGGATGCAAAGGAGACTTGTTAAGAGGCTCTGTGATCAATTCTATTTGTTTTTATATTGACAGGTTCCTTTGGTAGAAATGAAAGCTTGCCGACAAATGGCCCTGCTAAGTTCTGCTTTTGCATTTGGTTGGAGCAGGTGGAATGCACATTGTGATTCTAAAAAAGTTGTCCTCAAGGTATAGTATGCAGAAACCCACAAAACTACTTTGTCCTCCAAAAGAAAAGGTAATCAAAAGCTAAATGACTGTAGACCATGGCTTCTCCTCTTAAAAAGGTGAAAATTTTTAACATTTAAAATGGAGTTTTAAAACTTTTTTTTATTTTGTTTGAAGATATAAAACTAAACTATTATGGTACCAAATACTCTTGGTATCAGGCTAGAGTCCTTACATCTCTTTACGGTGACTCAAGCCAAGAACAAATGGAAGCCTTTAACGAGAATATGCGATTCACAAACTCGGAGGTGAGGCTTCCAGTTTAACTTTCTGGCACATTTACTACTTACCTGATAAAGAAGGTATCTTATCAAATTCTAAAAGCTGACTGATGAATGTTTTAGCATCAATGAGCCATCATATTTATTAATCTTGTTTGTTGTGTTTCTCCCACTAGAATATAAGCTCCTTAAGAACAGGGTTTTATTGTTGTGGTCGTTAGTTATTTACTAAAGTTTAGTTGTTTTTGTTTTATATCCCCAGCACCTAGAACAGTATTGAGTACATTATAGCTACTCAATAAATATTTGTTGAATGAATTAATACATTTTGATAAGCTCCATAAACACCAAAGTATAAAGTTTCATGATTTAAAAAATAGGACATTAAGAATATTTCTTCTAATAGCAATAATTTTGGGGACTGAGTTGAGCCCTTCAAATAATACTTTACTGCTGAAATACCTGATAAAAGAGGAACTATTAACAGATTTCTCTGATTTTCTTAAGGTGATGGAACACCTTGCTAAAGAAGAACCTATTCAGAATCCTGATTGGACCCTTTTAATGTTTAGTGGTGATAGAGCACAAAGGCTCAAGATTGATGAATACAGTGAAACATTCTCTGAAGCCCTTAAAGAAGAAACTGAGTTTCATTCTACTTTATATCACATGGTTAAGGATTTTGCTTCTAAGGAAGCAATGGAGAAAATTAGGAGCTCCAACTGCCAGTTTATTAATTCTGTATGCCATATGCTACTCTCAATTAGATTATTTAGCTATTCTTAACCCCCACTGATAAATTTTGCTCAGTATGGAGAATCGAGCAATTTGGAGAAAAATCAGGTACTTCTTCAATAAAATGTAACAAGTGAATATATTTCAAGTAGGCTATTAAAATGATCCAATCAGCATTTTATACTCAAATTTTTTTAAATGTGGGGTTTTTCCCTGTGAATACAGGCCTACTGAGACGTTTAATTTTCACTGTATGACGATTTAATCATTCTTTATTTCAATAAATTTTAACAAACAACATATAATATCACTTTTAAAAGATCATAGGCAGACCTCTTCCCCATAGTATTTTAGTTAGGGAGATAATCACAAAAAGAAGGAATTTAAAATATCCTACACTCATTCTGAGAACCTCTAGCTCCAGGCTATAATTTTTCTAGCTAAAAGTTACTAATTTACACAGTTTGGATACTGAAACTTTAAAAATCAAGATACACACGTCAGGAGGTGCTGCAGTCACACTGGCGGTGGCCCATTGTGTTGGAGTCTGGTAAATGGCCATAAGATATGTTCTAGAGACATCCAGGAGTCTCCATCCTGTGTTGGAGCGGCATCCACAGACTTTTGGAAAAATCGGCCTGTGAGGAAGCTCATCAAAGCTGCAAACAGTACAATTAATGCAACAGAAAACCAGAGTGCCTTATTAGCCTTTCTGACGGAAGTCTTGAGATTTGTTGCCCAGGAAGCTACTGTGTCACAACTATAAGGAAAACACAAATTCAGAATTTGGTAATCACAGTAATCTGTTATTAGAAACACTCCTTTTGCCAATGATACCAATCAAGTCATCGATCTGCCGTATGTACCACCAATACTGCTTTGTAATAAACTAAACAATGTGATCTACTGTCTTGGTGTTGGCCACAGTCTGCTCCCCCCTCTTATAGTTTTTAGAATTAAAGAAATGTTATGGTGAGAATCTCAAAATTATGTTATTTGGAATAACTCCTAACAAGTACATATGAGTACTTATCTCATTCTTTCAGTCAGGTAAGGCAACATGTTCCTATGGTGAAAACAAAAATATTTATTGGGTAGAAGAAGAAATATGTGTATGTACATATATATGTATATATAAACATGTCACTTCTTTCTCACCATACCCTAGACTTTTGCTGTACTGAAATTTAAACTCTTTTAGAAACACGCAAAAAAAATATTACAGCATCATTTAAGTCTTTGAAAATAGGTAACTCTGGTCTAGGCATTGTATACTAAACACTGTTTACACAAGCTAATTAATTTAATCGTGACAGCAAAACAATGACACAGGCACTATTATCGTGCCTATTTTATAGATGAAGAAATTGGTACCCAGGTCACACAGCTAGTTAGAAAGCTGCAAGCTGAGCCTAGGCCATCCGGCTTCAGGGCCGGGTTCCTGACACCGAATTCTGCCCATTGTAACTGGGTTCAGGGATAACCCCTATAGACCATAAGAAGTTTGTTATTCATCTTAAATTGAACAATTTGACAGGTCTTTCAGTAAAATGATTTAAGAAAGAGTAATACCATTAACCCTGTCTTACCTTCCCCCATTCGCCCAAAATGGTATAATTTAGCAAGTGGACAACTTACACAGAAGAGACATCCCATTTTGATGGATTATTTCTCTTTTCAGAAAGACTTGGCTTTCTTGTCCTTTCTACGATTTCTTCTCCAGGTGGTTCTGAGTCATCTTTAGTTCTGTAAAAAAGTATTTTTTTTTTAAATACTCAAAACTAAAGATAATGTGCTATAATTATAAAAAATTTCTAAATTTTACTGTATTAAAAAAGATGCTTACAAATATGTTTTGCTTTAGAAAGCTTTGATAAATATCTAATTCTAAAAGTCAAATCACCAAATTTATATATTTAACCATTTTGTTTTTTTATTTTTCTACCTCATGTGTTTAATAACTTATATTAGCAGGTGATTTTATTCTTTAGGTTTTTCGATCAATACTAAATTGGAGTAACATCAGTATTATTTCTCTAAAAATCTTAATTTTAAAACTGTTTATGAAAATAGTCTTAGTATAAAGCTAGTTAAAATAAACTAGTATTCAGTAATCTGGCAAATAGTAATCGCGTTGACTATATTTTAAGTAAAATATTATCTAAAGAGGGATTTCCTTACCTGAACAAAACTAGTTTCATCATTATGTTCACTGATGGGTTTCTAGCTGGATTTGAATTTTGATATCTCAAGCTCATAATGCCCTCACAAAAGGAACTATGTCTCAAAGCGAGTGTTTTTTTTTTTTTTTTTCCAAGCATATACAGGGAATGTATGTGGTAGATTTTAGTTTAGTTTTTTAAAAGAAAGAAGACTCCCAAAGCCAGAATTAGCTTCATTCTTGTAAGATTTTCAAGGTTTCAGTCTTTTGTTTACACAGATTTCTCAGTAAAAATCATACCATACTAACAAAAAGCAAGTAATATAATCTTTTAAGGAAACTTGATTTTTTTCCTACTCTAGATGAGAAAATATTATGTTAACACTGAGTTTTCATCACATGTAACAGGCTCCCAGGATTAACTAAGCGCGTGCGCGCACACACACGCACACCACAAAAAACTTTAAAGGTAAGTACTATGCCTTTCTTACTTATTTTTATATCCCTTAGAATTGAGTGTAGTGTCTATCACATAGTAGGCACTTAGTGAACATACATAACATGAACATAAAATCAATTCATTAAGATCACTATAGATAAGAAAACTGAGACCAAGTAAAGTTAAGCAATTTGTCCAATGGCACCCAAGGATTTAGAGGCAGCATTTCTTCATGTCCCTCCTTCTTAATCTCTTTTTTGATATAGAAGTGTATTTAATTTAATTTACTAGATAAAAAGATAGGAATGTAGAGTTTTATGTTTCCTCTCCATTTCTTTAAAGGGAAGATATATATAATGCACATATATTACTTACATGCCTATATGTTTTATATATACGTCTGTTATATATCTAATTCATGTATTGTTTTAAATTCTAAGTAGATGGACATTTTACTTCTATGGCTCTTTATTGACCCTTCCCCCATGAGGCCGGGCACCTATCTATACAGGAAAAAATTATCTGATCAAATCTGACAAATTCCAGGGTCTTTTCTAACTTAAGACCTCAAACCCTGCAGTTCTGAGTGCTATAAAAGTTAATATATTCACAAATTACATTTACATAGTGCTTAACAGTTTATAAGTCTTAAACAATTAATTATCTTTTTGATGATATAGCACTGATCTTATCCCCATAGAATGAAAGTGACCCCCACTGTTTATTCCCCAGCTCACGTCAGGTTATTAATAAACACACTGAGCTTCACCTACTTTAGTTCACATTTTTCTTCTTCAGCATCTGCCCAGGAATAGGTGCTGATAAATCGATGTAAGGAGGGACGGTGTTCACTCTGCTTTGAGCCCAAAATACGCCTAAAGTGATGATAACCACTTGTCAAATCAAATATATCCATAGTCGTTTTCAATTTATTTCCCACTACCTAAATCGATACAAAAATTATATTCTAATTTTTTCCTTGGCACCTTCACATAACATTTATTTCATAAGAAAACAATTCCATGATCACATACCAACTTTTATAATTATTCTGCTTACACTGTGTTTTAAACCTATTTTAAACATTTAATTTAGTCTGGTTATAAGTAAAGTTCCCAAAGAACAACCATAAAATTATACTTACCAACTGCTTGACCTCCTACTGAATCGGTCATTATTATCTATCCCAGCCACCTTTAAAGTTCAGATGGTAAAGAAATGATAAATATGAATTTAGTGAAGTTTGTATTTTTGTCATATGAAAATACATTTGCTTTTGACAGAACATGTAGAAATTTGCATACCATTCCTGTATTTCCAATATTTCTGGGTAAAGAGGCAATGGTCACTCTTCGAAGAGAAGATGGCTATTCAAAGGGTGAAAATGTAAATTTAGAAAATTCTTAATATTTTATCCTTGTATGCAACACCTATGAATATGCTTGTACATTCACATCCATGCACTTGGTTACTGGTGAGTTAGACATTTTTAAAGGATTTTGCTATGGTCAAATTGCCTTCCAGAAATATTCTATCAATTTATAGTCCACCTTCCCCAACTCAAAGTTAGTATGGTTTTTGCCAGTCAAATAAGGAGTATAAACTTCCTTGTTTAGGTTTGCATTTATTTGGCTTCTAATAACATTGAACACATTTTCTATGTTGAATAACCATGTATATATATCTGCTCTGAGAACCAGCTGTTTATGATCTTTGCCCATATTAATTTTGTTCAAGATTTTTCAGGTAGAAAAACTTTTTCACTGTTAATACAGCAAAATCCATTAATCTCTTCCTTTCTTTTGCTTATAAATATTTTCCCCTAGTCACGAGGAGAAATACACAGCTATATTTATAGCTTTTTTTTTTCATGGCTTCTTCCATTTAATACATTTAAGGATAGGCATATTATTTTAATGAATGGATGTGTTTATAGATCAGCCTTGAGATATGCACAGAAAAATGATACATAGTATTATACGGTTCTTAAAGTTTAAATAAGTACAATTTCTGAAAATAAAAACATTTTAAATGTAGAAAATAAAGTTTTATGTGAGTCCTTTTCTTAAATGACCACCCCTAATTTAATTTCCTAGGTTAGTTGAGCATCAGGAATATCAAATTGTGGTCCAAGACACCTGGGTTCTAACACTACATGATCATAACTAATCATTAACTTCTGTGCTTCTCCCTGTCCTCATCTGTGAAAAAGAGATTTGGATGGAATGATTTTAAAGTCACTTGCTCAAAAATTCTATTACAAAATTCTGTGAAATTCTGATTTTCAAATTGGCAGAAACTGCTGGTTTAATATCATATTCTCCCTTTCAAATTCCTTGATTACTCATTAGGCATACAGCCTGCAGAATAAAAACTGTATTTCCAGTTTTATGTGCAACTGAGAGTGAAAATGGAAATATTATCTGGGACTTCTAGAAGTTATCTTTAGAAGGAGAGAGAATACATGTCTTTGATTTTTCCTTTTTCTTGGAACATGACTTGATGCTATGACCAGGACTTGGTGCTGAAACCAAAGAGGACATCTTAGGCCATAAAGTGGAAGCAAAGCGCTGAGGGCGATAAAGCAGTGAGAGACGGGGAGACTGGGCCCCAGGAATATAGTGAAGCTTCTCTACCATTGTTGGACAGCCTATTTCCAACTTTCGTTTTACATGAGAAAAACTGTTATACTGGCTTTCCTCTCAATGCCAGGTGAACAACTGATATGCTAATATAGCAGGAAATATAAAAGCATACATATAAACACAGATACACATATGTGAATTAAAATTGGTTCGTGATTTACATTTAAAACTATGTTGCTTCATATTTTTAAAACCATCTCACTTATAACATTTGATATATGTGTTTTAAGTGAATCAGTAAGTGAATTAGGAATTACCTTGGAGTTTAGAGAAGATGAGCGTTTTTTAATTTGGCAGTCATCTGAAAGGAAAAGCACATTTGCATATTTTAGAAATTACATTTCTACTTTCTGTTAATGTAATGGCCTTAATTCTTTACAAGGAAAAGCAGAGGTCAGAAAATATTTAAGACCATGGGGACTATTAAAGATAAATATCAGGTTGTTATTTATTTGGTGATTTATTACAATTACCATCTTAACCAATGGAATACAGTCCTCTAGGGCACTGCAGATGTCCAGAATGCTGACCTCCCACACAGTAGGCACTAAATGAATGTCTGCTGAATAAATTAATCCGAAATTACAGATAGAAGGTTATCAAATATGGTTACATTTCTATAAGAGGAACAGATGATTAAAAATTTTCAGAAAAGCTTATACTGCTTATTATAACATTTATGTAAACTTTTTCCCTTTTAAAATTGCTTTTATTATGAATATAACACAACACTCTGGAGTAAAATACATCACATAATGTATATAAATTTTATATTAAGATATTTTCCATGGCCTTATATGCACCTTATTTTCCAAGGCACGGGTCAGCTTGCTGTGCTAGGGTTATTTTATGAGGAATACGGAACCACTGTTGATGAGAGTGGCTCATTTAAGTTGCTGTGCGTCGCTGTGTGTGTAGAGAAAAGCCACCTCTTAACATATCCTTGTAGGTCACCAAGGTCAACTTAATAGGATGGATTAAATATATTCTCTGATCTCAGCAATTTAAATTGATGTAATGAATTTTTGATGTCGTTATCAAAGAATCTTCCTTGTCTCCCAGCCTGTTATCTAACTGACATCTTTCTTTGGGCTCTGTGACAGGAATGAGTTACTTTTTCAATACAATCTTAACCTAACAGTTCTATAGTAGAGACATGATAAGCATTAGTGAGAGAGAGAGGATGAAAGAAGCAAATATTAGAAAAATATAACTGGTACGATGATCTTAAACTTTTACCTTCATCTTCCAGAGGATTAAAAGACCTTTCATTTTGCAAGAGAACCTGTTTCAGTTCTTCTAATTCAGCATGCTCTTTGGCATACATTCTCTTCAGGTTTTCTACATGCTGAATCATCACTTCAACTGCTTTACTAACTCGGCTTTCCTAGTAGAAAAAAAAAACACACACAAATTTACACTGAAAATACTGTTTTTGAGATGCAGTTAAAAGATGGTGATTAGAAACATACGTTTTCTTCACTGCATCCCTAAGTCCCACTAAAATGACAGTAAAAGTATTTTTTTTAAAGAAGGCATGAGTCCACAAGGGCAAATAGAATGGAAGATATAACAGCAAGAAAAATTTAAAGCCTGCTAATAGAAGGACTAGCGATAAATGACTAAGATCAGAAAAAGCTAAATCCCTCCAAATGTAGTAAGAAAAACTTGGTTTCCACCACAGAAAGTCCCAAAGGCTCAAGAATTAGTGATGCCTCTGAAATTAAGCTTAAAAGGTGGCTATGTGAACAGAAGAAGTTTGAAAATCTGTGTAAAAAAAATAAATGAACAAACAAAACTAACTAATAGATACAGAGAACAAGCTGATGATTGTCAGGTGGGAGAGGGGTTAGGGGCCTGGGTGAAAAAGGGGAAGGGATTAAGAAATACAAATTGGCAGCTACAGGGATGTAAAGTACAGCACAGGGAACATAGTCGATAATATTGTAATGACTATGCATGGTGGATAGTCAGGTGTATACTAGACTTACTGGGGGGAACACTTCATAAGTTATATAAATGTCTAACCACTCTGCTGTAAACCTGAAACTAATAAAATATTAGTCAACTGTAATTGGAAAAAAAATTAAGTGATTAGAAACACAGACCACCTCCCTTTCTCAGGCTAACTGAGCAACTTTCCCTCCACCACTTTGGTGAAAGATACCAAAGGCTGACTAGGGAGAGTTAAACAGAGGGTCTGTAGATAGAGCGGTAACAGTTGATGGTGGATCCTACTGAAAAGAATAGATTTAAGCAAAAGCCTGTGTGTATATATATATATATATATATATTGAATCTTCAGATACCTAGCCTTATTCTTTCTTCCTGCTCCCAAACACTGGTAGCCAGGTTTATACCCTAAAGGCAGGCAGCTGTAAGATTTTTCTCTGAGGAAGCTAACATCTCAAGATAAAAGTCTTTAAACTACTGATATTAAGAGTACTCCAATGAAACATCCTACCTTGTGTGAAGTTCAGAGTTAATAAATAAGAACCTTCCCTACCCATATACAATGAGTTCCTTATCATCTGTATAGTGAGTCAAGAGATGCTGGAGGAAAGCCTCTAGCATAAAAGGAGAAAATAAAAACAAGAAAAAGCAAGCTAGAGGAAAGCAGAAAAACTAAAACTTCAAGGAAAGTATCAATACCTTCAGAGAGTTACGAATTAGTATTGCGTCTGTGAAATGCGAACAAGGTATTATTAAAAAACAATATTCTGATAATAAAAAGGGGTCAGAAAATTAAAACTATGACAAAAATACATAACAATAGAAGGGTTTCAAGATAAGATCGAGGCACTCTCTTTGAAACTAGAGCAAAAAGACTAAAAGGTAGAAAAGCAATGAGGAAGGACCGGTTTAAGAGGCCCAACATCCGAAGCGCTCAAGAAAAAATAGAAAATGTAGAAAAATTCCACAACATGTAGAAAATGAAATAATTCAAGAAAATTTCCAGAACTCAAGAATATAACTTGCCAGCTAGAAAATGTCCACTCAGGGCCTAAAACAGTAGATAAAAATAAACCCATACCAAGAGACGACAGGAGGAAAAAAAAAATACCCTAAAAACTCTGGAAAGTAAAAAGAGGTTATAAACAAAGTCTCGAGAGTCAGAATGGCATCAAGCTTTGATAGCAACACCAGAGGCTAAAAAGAAAATAAAGCAATGCAAGAAAAATTCTAAAGGAAATGATCTCTCACCTAGACTTTCTCACCCAGCTAGACTAAGTATAAGAATAGATGTGATTATATATCACATTTTCCGTTATATAACATCTCAAAAGTTTACTTCCTAGTCATTCTTTTTCTCAAGAAGTTACTGGATGAGATGTTTCACCAAATGAAAAAAAAAAATCATCAAAGAAGGAGGTATAGGACTTGGGAAACAGAATTCAACTCAAGGGAGAAATGAAAGAAAACCTTCATTTCAGTGTTCCAAAGATTGTTGTGGTGAGCCTAAAAACAATCAGTTCAGATTTGAACAGGTCAGAAATTTCTGGAAGCAACATCTCAAAGAAGAAGAAATTGACAGAATAGCTAATGAGTTTAAATCTATTGCAAATTCTAGACTCTCCAGGAGAGGTTAGGAATAAATTGGTTAAATAGAAAACCAAGCAAATAACCATCATAGCAAAGAAAAATGATTGACTTTGGGAAGAACAAGATTTTGTTCAAAGAAGGGAAAGTCATTATAATAGATTTTCTGCTATGAATAGAATTCACATGGTCATAATGTTTACACATAATGATCTAACTAATATTATTCATTGCACTTACTCTTTAATTAAAAAAAATTATTATGAAAATTTACAGAGACAAAAAGTAGACATATATCCATCAATCAGCTTCAAGAACCATCAACATTTTGCCATATGAGTTTCATCTCCTCCTCAGTTTTGAATACCATTTCTTTTAAAACAAGTGTTACATATCATGTTGTTTCACTCTTAGATACTTCAGTAAGTATCTAAAAATCATAAAGTGTATTTCCTTACATAATCACATCTAATAAAATTAACAGAAACATCTTAATGTCATCCAGTCCATATTTAAATTTTCCCAATTGTCTCAAAAACACGTTTGTACAGTTTTGCTTTAATTGGAACCACTAAGTACACCGATGGTATTTTTTCTTTTTTAAAATATTAATGAGTAATTCACAATATAAAATTAACTATTTTAAAGTGAGCAATTCAGTGGCACTTAGTATATTCACAATGTTGTGCAATCTTCATTTTTATCTAGTCCCAAAACATTTTCACTACCCCAAATAAAATCCCATACACATTAAGCAGTTAGTCCCTCTTAACCAGTCACTCCAGCCCCTGGCAAGCACTAATCTGCTACCTTTCTCGGAAGATACTATATATATACAAAAAGAATCATACAATATGTGACTCTTGTATCTAGCCTCTACATTTAGCATAATGTTTTCCAGGTTCATCTACACTGTAGCATTTATCAGCACTTCATTCCTTTTAGTGGCTAAATAATATACTATACTAATAATATAATCATAATATTGCAATTTTACACGCTCCTCAATAATAGTTATTTTCTTTCTTTCTTCCTTCTTCTTCTTTTTTTAAAATTATAGTTATCCTAGTGGTGTGAAGTAGTATCTCATTATGGTTTTGGTTTGCATTTCCCTGATTCCCTAATCTTTTTATGTGGTTATCGGCTATTTAGAGATCTTTGGAGAAATATCTTTTCAAGTCATTCACCCACCTTTAAATTAGGTTGTTTTTCCTTCTGTTTAAGTGTTCAGCATTCTTTATTCTGTGTATTAGACTCTTATTAGGTATTTGATTTGCAAATATTTTCTCCCGTTCAGTGGTTTATCTTTTTATTTTCTTGATAATGTCTTTTGATACATAAAGGTTTTTATTTTTGAGAAAGTCCAATTTATACATTTTTTTGTTGTTGCTCTTCCTTTTGTTTCTGATGTCATATACTCACTCATTTCACAAATACTGAGTAGCCACTATGTATCAGGCACATTTCAGGCATGGAGATACGAGCAGTGAGCCATATAAACAAATATGTCTGCTTTTATGGAGCTTATCTTCTAGTGGGAGGAGGCAGACAATAAACAAGATGTCAATAAAATATATATTATGTTAGGAGGTGATCAGTGCTATGAAAAACAAAAGATAGGAAAAGAGGGCATGAGAAGCTCTGGGGTGGGAGGGGTTGAAATTTTACATAAGGTGTCAGGGTAGGTCATTCTATGGAGGTGAGATTTGAATGAGAATTGAAGGACATGAGAGCCAAGATATACAGATGCCTGGAAAAACAGTATTTTAGAAGGCAGGGACTGCTAGAACTAGAGGCCAGAGATGGCAATATGATTAGCAGAACATATTGAAAGGAGACTAGTGTTGTTGGAATACAATAATTCAGGAAAATAGTCATAGGAGATAAACTCTAAGAGGTAAAAGAGCAGGGGAATCAAGAAAATGTATTATTTAAGCCATCTTAAGGACTTTGGTTTTTATTCTGAAAAAAAGTGAGGAGCCACTGGAGGGCTTTGAACCAAAAAGTAAGATGATCTGGCTTACGTTTTAAAAAGATTATTCTGGCTGCTTTATTGAGAATAGACTATGTTGGGAGAAGGATGGGGTGTGGATGGAAAGAGGGAGACCGTTTAGAAAGATATTGTATTAATGTGGGAAAAACAGAATAGTGGCTTAAATCAAGGTGGTAGCAATGGAGAGAAAAATAAGTAAGTAGTTAAATTCTGGATATATTCTGATGATAGAACGAACAGGACTTTGTCAGATTGGATGTGGAGTCAGAGAAAAGTGGTGAGAATCACTCCTGAGGGTTTTCAGGCTGAGCAGTTGGAAGAGCAGAGTTGCCCTTCACTGAGGTAAGGAGATTATGCACGGAACAGGTCTTGGAGGGACCATGAACAGTTTATTTTTGAATATGTTAAGTTTGAGTTGTTTATCAAACATCCAGGTAGAAATGCTGCATTAGCAGTTGTATAGTTTAGTCTAGAACTCATGGTAGCAGTTTAGGGTAAGCATGTGAATTTGGGAATCATCAGCTGATGACAGAGATAGCAGAGGGATTGAGTGAAGATGGAGATCAGATGTACGAGGGTGAAACCCTGGGGCCCATCATTATAAAGAGCCTGGGAGAAAGGCTCCTGTAAAAGAGGCTGAAAGGGAGTGACCTGTGAGGCAGAGAGAAAAAAACAGGGGGATGTGGTATCTGGAAGCCAAGGGGCAGTATAAGCATGTTATTTAGAGATATGGATATAAGCACAAAACAAACCAAAAGAGTTGACAGTTATTGCTCTTCACCATGAAACATGGGATAATATGCCTTATAGAACTACTTAACTTTTTAAACTATGTGCATAAGTAACTTTAATAAAAATAAAACAAAGAATATTATTCTCTAGTGAGGGGATAAAAAGGAAATATGATACTAAAAATGGGTAAAAATGATCAAACTAAAAGTACCACCACGATTAAATTTCTCCTTCTTAGGAAAATATATTTAATGAGTTCGTTTAGGTATAGATTCAAAAAATTAAATTTTTCCCACATTTTCCCACAAAGAAAATTTGAAATTCTACTTTTCTATGATTAAGTATTCAAAAGTGCATGTACAAGGATATATATTGTAGCATTGTTTATAATAGCAAAAAATCAAGAACATTCTGAAATAATCAAATAGAGGGGATTGGTTACATAATTTATGATGTATTCAGTCAATAGAATACCATAAAATAATGATGTGTGTATAAATTCACATCACAGAAAACTATGCTATATGTTGAATGAAAAAGCAGATTATAACAGTATAATGGGAGTGTGTAGAAAAATATATCACAAAATTTTTATAATAGTCACTGGCTAATGCTATGAGAAATTTTTTTACGTTATTTGCACATTACATTTTCCATTTTTTCTTTATTAAATATACATGCCTTGTACAATAAAGAAGCATTTTTAAAAAGTTCTTCCTAGAAATGTAATCCATAATCTCAGGGAAAATGATCTTGTTAGTAATTTCATTGTAACTAGAGAAATGGAGACAGATTACCTGATTAATGGCTCCCAACATCTCAGCCCTACTGGCTACTCGTGCTGTGCACTGGCTAAGGAATGTTATACTCTTCTCCAGCTTCTTAATGATTTCCTGGGCCTGGTTGTCATCTTCACAAAGAGGTGTTAAAGACTGCACAGAAAGCAATGTATTAAGAAGTATCCAACCCAAAGTTTCCACTCCTTCATATGTATTTATATTTTTCTTCTACAACAGAATAGGATATAATTAATTGGTAATGGTAAAGAAATTATGCTTTTAATGAGTTGAATGTCTTATATGAGGAGAACAGTTTGAACTTTTAAGAAAAAGAGTGAAAATATACTGAAATTAGAAATGGCTTTGACTACTGTCGCTCTTCTGTTGATAACAAAGTGTGATTGGGCTGATTAGGTGGGTATGCCTTCATTGCTTTATGAATATTTCTCTCAAACTTGAGCCCTTAATCCAAAATGATGGCCTTTCTGCTGGAGGATCATCTTTCTTACTAGGGTGGAGACAGAATTAAGAGAACAGCAGATTTGAAAGCAAACAAGCCACTGCTCATTAGCTGCATGATCATGAGCAAATTTTTAAGACCTGACAAAATCTAAAGCACCATAAATTTTCTATATCATTAAGAAATGAAAAGTTCTGCAATAAAACTATACGGCACCATTAACTGTAAATTGCTTCCTAATTCCAGAAATGTTATAATATCAATCCTTCTGATTTTCTATTTTTCTTCATCTGTCAGAGGGAGACAATTACATTTTCTTTCCACAAATACTGTGACATGAGAGGTAATAGATGCCAGTTGCTTGTCACACAGTAGGTGCTTGGCTTCTGAAGCCAAGCGATACATATCAGACAGATATATGTGAGTTGCTAATCAACTAGAATGGCCATTGTCAGACAGTTTCCTATGGTAGTTTAAATAACCACCTTCAGTTTGGAAAGGAAAAGCAGATGTTAGTTGTTAGCCAAACAGAATATGGTTGAACAAAACTGAATCATGAAGAAACAGAAAATTTGAATAGATCAAAAACTAGTAAGCAGATTGAAGCACTTATCAAAAATCTCCCAATAAAGTAAGTCCAGTATCAGGCTTCACTGGAGAATTTTACCAAACATCTAAAGAAGAATTAACACTAATCCTCCTGAAACGCTTTCAAAAAATTGAAAGCATAGAAAATACTTCCAAGGTAATTTTCTGAGGCCAGCCTTAAACTGATACCAAAGCCAGGCACTACAAGAAAATTATAGACCAATAACCCTTATGAATATTGATGTAAAATTCCTCAATAAAAATACTAGTACACTAAATTTAACAGCACATTAAAAGGATTATACAGCATGACCAAGTGATATTTATTCCTGGAATGCAAGGATGGTTCCACATATGAAAATCAATCAATTCAAAAGACCACATTAACAGATTAAAGGATAAAAAAATGCATTATCATCTAAATTAATGCAGAAAAGTATTTGACAAGGTTCAACACCATTTCATGATAAAAAAATATTCAAAAAACTAGAAATAGAAGTAAACTACCTCAACATAACAAGAGCCAGAAATGAAAACCCCACAGTTAATATCCTATTTAATAGTGAAAGACTGCAAATTTTTCCTATAAGATCAGAAATAAGACAAGGATGTCCACTCTCGTCACTTTTACACAACTTAGTACTGGCAGTCCTAGTCAGAGCAATTAGGCAAGTAAAAGAAATAAAAATCTACATTGGAAATGAAGAAGTAAAATTATCTTTGCTCACTAATAACATGATCTCATATACAGAAAACCCTAAAGATTCCACAAGAAGACTGTTAGAAGTAATAAATAAATTTAGCAAAGTTGCAGGACACAAAATGAACATATAAAAAACTAGTTCATGTGTATACACTAACAATGAACGATAAAAAAAGGAAATTAAGAAAACGATTCTATTTACAATAGCAATAAAATACTTAGGAATAAACCTACCCAAGGAGGTGAAAGATTTGTACACTGAAAATATTGCTGAAAGAAATTAAAGAACACATAAAGGGAAAGATGTCCTTTGACATGAATTGGAAGTCTTAATTTTGTTAAGATGTTCAGACTACCAAAATCAATCTATAGATTTAATGCAATCCCTATCAAAATCCTAATAGCATTTTTTTTCTTTGCAGAAATAGAAATATCTAAATTCACATGGAATCTCAAATAGGATCCCTAATAGCCAAAACAACTTTAAAAAAGAACAAAGTTGGGGAACTCACACTTCAAAACATATAACAAAGCTACAGTAATCCAAACAGTATGGTACTGGCATAAAAACAGATATATAGACCAATTGAACAGTATATAAACTTACATATATATGGTCAAATGATCTTTGATAATGGTGCCAAGATTACACAACAGGGAAAAGATAGTCTCTTTAACAAATGATATTGGAAAAACTCAATATCCACATGCAAAAGAGTGAAATCGGACTTTATCTTACATCATACACATAAATCAACTCAAAATGGCTTAAAGATCTAAATGTAAGACACAAAACTTATAACTCCAGAAGAAAACATGGTATAGAGACCTTCATGACAATTTGGCAATGATTTCTTGGATATGACACTGAAAGCACAGACAACAAAAGCAAAAATAGACAAATAGTACTACATCAAACTTAACTTCTGTGCACTGAAGGACAGAATGAAAAGGCAACCTGCAGAATAAAATATTTGCTAATTATATATCTTATTAAAAATTTGACAAAGAACTTGAACAGAAATTTTCCCAAAGATGATGTGCAAATGGCCAATAAACACATGAAAAGATGCTCAACAATAGTAACCATCAGAGAAATGCAAATCAAAACCATGATGAGAGACTATGTTGTACCCATTAGGATGGCTACTATAAAAAAATCAGAAAATAACATGTTTGTCAGAATGTGAAGAAATTGAAACCTTTATGCAGTGTCAGCAGGATCACAAAACGGTGCAACACCTATGCAAAAACAATATGGTTGTTCCTCAAAAAAACCTTAAAAGTAGTTCTCCATATGATCCAACAATCCCACATCTGGGCATATTTCTAAAAGAATTGAAAGCAGGGTTCTCAAAGAGATATTTTCACACCCATAGTCATAGCAACAATGTTTACAATAGCTATGAGATGGAAGCAACTCAAATATCCATCAATAAATGAATGGATAAACAAAATGTGGCATATACACAAATGGGATGTTTTATTCAGCCTTAAAAAGAAAGGAAAACCTGTCACATGCTACAACATGGGTGAACTTTGAAGACACTGTGTAAGTGAAATAAGCTAATCACAGAAAGACAAATACTGTATGATTCTACTTATATGAAACATCTAATGGTCTAATTCATAGAAACGGAAAGTAGAATGGTGGTTACCAGGGACTGGGCGGCGGGGAGGGGAGTTGTTTAATGGCTATAGAGCTTCAGTAGGCAAGAATAAAAGGTTCTGGAGATCTACTTCGCAACAATGTAAATCTATTTAACACGACTGAACCATACACTTAAAATATTTAAAATGCTAAATTTTATGTTATGTGGTTTTTTATAACAAAATACAGAATATGGTTTCTAAATTTCTATTTTCCTTTTCCAAAACTAGCCCTCTTAATTTTCCAACCCATCCTTGTATTTATGGTGACTTTGCAGAATGAAAGAATAATAGTTGTTATACTACTCTGTACCTTACAGAGGGCTTGCCCATTATCTGACAAGACTGAAATCAGTCCCCATTCTCTTTTTTCAGTTAATGAAATGGACATACTTTTAATTCTCTTCTTTGAAACTTAAAATTGATATGTCCTATTGCTCAGTTTTCTGCATGATTACTATTCTTCTTCCTGAAATCTATTTGAAAATCCGGAAAACAGATGACTCATAAAACTACTATAAAAGACATTTATTGTTTTATTGCTTATATTCTCTTACTAGTGATTCTTGTATTTTACCCTGATCCTGAATTCTTACCTCCTATTAATTTACATTGGAGTCAGGCAGAGCTTGGTATCTGGTGTTGGTTTTAGTCATAGAAGTAAACTTATGTGTAATTTGGAAAACATTATTAACAATGTGACCAAATAGATAGTCCCCAAATGTTATGATTCTTACCTCCAATAGCTTTAAACAGTTAGTGATTTCTGTCTTCAAATTTTCTTCTGCCAAGTCACGGGATCTTTCTTCAAGCTTTACTCTTTTCTCCAAGGTGAACCAATCACACTTAAATCCCAAAGACAATCTGAGAAATTCAGCCTGTTATCAAAATAATATGAGAGTGAAGGGAGAAAATTGGTTGTAGTCAAATATTTCAGTTTAATACTAGATTATATGAGGCATTGCTTTCTCTTCCCAGCAACTTAATGTTGGCATGCAAAGACTATCCACACTTTGTCATTGCCAAGCCAGACAATCACCAAATGTACAAGAGCTTGTACAAAAGCATGAAGCAACCACAGGCAAATGAGTCTAAAACACTATTTTTAATTAAAGGAAAAAATATTTACTTTAAACTCACCTCCACCTCCTTCTCATTAGCAGAAGTGCTGTAGGATAAGACAAAGAACTTATTCAAGCATAGTTCAACAGAAAAGCAAAAAATGTTAGCATGCTATATGAAAAAAAGCTTACTTGTCACTTTGTTTAAAGTTAACCGATTTCACAGTTGTTACAGGAATAGAGGAAACAGCAGTATCTATTAAAAGATAATAAATATTATTTAGTTAAAAAGGTTTAACAGCTAAAGGCACATTCAATCAAATGTTATGTTCTCTTTCCACTAAACAAAGGCATTTCACTGACATATGTCTGAAACAATAGCCAATGAATAATATGTTTGCTGAAATATAACATAATATGCTATGCTATCGGGATCACAATGACTCTAAAATCATAGGCTCATACTTCAGCCTGTAAATAGTCTGAAAACTGAAAATGTCTCAGAGTCCAGGGATAGCCCAAGTTGTTTGCTTTGCATTTGAACGTTTATTTGACTTGAACTCTTGGCTACATGCGATTCTTCCTCTGGCACCCTGGTCCTCCTCCTTCAGATCAAGGCATTACTAGCAGTAGCGGCAGTAGTAGTGATTATAGTAGTAATAGTAGTAGTAATAATAAATAATAATAATATATAATAAAAGAATACTGGTAATAATAACAGCAACAATATACATCGCCTTGACCATTTATTACGTGTTTACTATGTGTCAATCTCACAACAAGTCTCTTAACACAAATTAATGATACTCTTAATAACAACTTTGCAAAAAGGACAATATATTAGTTATAGGAGCATTAGATTTAGCATTGAAAAAACCTGGTTTAACTCTTGGCTTTGACCCTTATAGCTATGTGAACTGGAACAAACAACAACATCAACCACCTACAAAATCAGGATATATATTTTTTTCTATAGTGTTACCGTCTATAGTTTATAGGCTATGAAGCTGAATCACAGTTTACCTATCTCACAAAGATATTTGGGAGAACTAAATAAAACTATGCACACAAAGAATTTAACCATGCACTTAGCATATAGTATATTCTCAATAAAGGGTGGATTTTTTTACTCATTTCCATTTTGCAGATGAGAATAATTGAGATTTGTGTTAAATAACTTTTCAAAGTTACAGCTAATCAGAGACTGACTCCAAAGCCAGAATTCTATTTACTACTCCCTCCTAATCAAGGTGAAATGAGGAGGAAAGCATATTGGCGCTTAGTCTTTAAATGTTGGCTTATTTACTTTTAGATGGGGTAATGAAAAAGATCTCAAAGTAGAGCTCAGAGTTCACTACCAACATTGATGTGGTTCTTAGTCACCATAGGGCCGTAGTGCTCTGGGGTTTATGTTATGGCAACATAAATGTGGCTTTTCAAAAATTATACCAGTGAAATCAAGACTCAGTTCTGCTGGCTGATTACCTCTGTAGATAACATATCTTTACTCAGAGAGATTTCACCCATAAAAATACCAGCAGGGAACAAAAATTCATGTGGGGGTGGGAGAGAACATTCCTTACCTCCCATAGCACATTCTTTTTTATGCTCATCTATTGTTTTTGGTTCCTCTTTGGCTTCCTAAAATCATAAAGAGATTTTATTACTGTACAGAGAGTGGATATCCTTTATAACCAATCATTTCCCAACTTCCGGTCCTCTCCTAACCTTACCCTGTCAAAAACACTCTATAGCGTTCAAAGAACTGTACTAAGGGCTAAAGAAACAAACAAGACTGGCTCCAGGGCAGATTCCAATCCAGTTGCAGCATAAAGAACAGATATATATGAATAGCTGCAAACATGATATAAGTTGCCACAAAGCAAAATAAGATTAATTGCCAAATAAATGGGATATAGACAAGTGCTCTGCAAAGGGAGAGAGAGATAGCATGGCTTGGGTAGCATGGAAAGTCTCTGGATAGGATGGATGAAGAGGCAAAGTAGGGGTGATCCAAGACTATCACGTGCAGCTTTCTAGGTGGTTGTTGGGGAAACCATGGCAAAAATAGCTGATAAGATAGTGTTGTGTTAGCCTTTTACTCCATATGAATATATTTTAAGGTCATTGACCAACTGTCTCACAAATATATCTATATAACAGGAATCTCCATAATAAGAGGGTCGTACTGTACTGCCTGGGAAATCTAACGGGAAAGCTATAAGTATGCAATCATTTTTATGTTAATAATTGTTCAACATTCTCAGAAATTTTCCATAAAAATAAATCTAAGACAAATTTCTTTGATAGAGCTGTTGATACCATGTCATGTAATCATTAGACAATTGAAACAAAGACTTTGATGAAATGTAACAAATGCAATAACATGAGTTAAGCACTGGATCATTCTTAACATTTAAATATTCTTAAGTTTTTTGAATCCTCCCTCAACCTATGACCTCTTCCAGGTATGGCATTTCCTCCCTCTCCTGCCCTTCGCGGTCACACTTCTGGGAAGAGTTATCCAAGGTTGTGGTTTCCAATTCTTTGTCTCCCATCTGTCAGCAATAAATTACTCTGACCCTATACCCAAGACTGAGGAAACAGCCCTTCCCAATTATCAGCGACCTCCCTACTGCCAAATCCGATGCTTAATTTTGTCTCTACCTTACTTGACCTCACTATTGCATCTAAAATGATCTATAATCCCCACCTTCTTGAAGGTTTTTCTTCCCTTGGTTCTGCTCTCCTGCTGTCCCCCCATCACAATAGCTCTTTCTCATTCTCCTCTGCCATTGCCTTCTCTTATTAGATATTGGAATCATCAAGAGTCAAGTATCCTCAGTGCTCTCTTCCTGACTGTCAAAGTCCTCGGGAATCTTATCTGCACACTTGGTTCTTTGCTGATGACTCACGAATGTGTGTCCACTGCTACAAGTCTCACTGGTGAGTTTAAGAATATGGGCATATAGCCATTTATAAAATCTCCTTATAGACTATTGATGTCTCACATCAACCCGAAACTTTACTTATCTCAAACTGCTCTTATTTTACCCTACAAATTCTACTCTTCTTATTCCCTCCCTACTCTCATGTTATTCTATTCATACCTTTTCCATGACCCCTTTTCTGGCCTCTCGCCCCAAGAGTTTTTCTTTCATATCACTAATCACACTCTAATCAGAGTAACTGTATGTTACTTTCGCTAATTAGAACATATATTTAAGAGAGATATCATGGTTTTATTCAACCTTATTAATGCATTAATCTACTTAGGAGTCCTCTATTAATAGATATTTAGCTTGTTTCTAGTAGACTTTTGATGAATAAATGACTGAATGAATGACTATTGTATGACCTTGGACAAATTACAGGGATGCTTTGGCCTCAACTTCATATATAAAATACTGGTATAATTAGATTATTTTAAATTCATAATATTTTAGAAAGATAAAATGACATACTGCTTTTAAGAGTGTTTTGCAAACTTAAAGGGACAGTTCTACCATTGTAATAGATCATTACTTCTACTGTTAATGTGTTTATTTTCTTACCAGATTTAACATGATTTTGTCTTCACTCACAGAGCCTTCGAGCACAATATTCTCATGAGCTGGACTTGTGTCTACGAGAAAAAGAAAACACACTAAACAGTTGGGGCACAGTAACAAGTAAAAAAAGAAGAATCAGTGAGGGTGACAATATAGGCAGACTAGTAAGTGGCAAAGGCCTTAACATGTGAGGTAAATTATGTACTACAAAATTTTAAATGTGCCCACTGATTCAGAATCAGGACTAGAGAAGCTAAGATTCCCAAGGAAGCTAGCCATATAAGATTTCTTAATAGAAATCAACATCTGTATAAATGGTCTTCAAATAGTCGAGTTTTAAAAATCTTTTTTAAGGCTGCTACTGTTTTCTTTTTATTGAACACATTACTAGTATAATTATAGAAATGAGACAAAGGAAGAATGAGCAATTTTTAAAAAATTATATATGCAAGGCTGATAACAAAATATGACATCCTTCCAAAACATGGTATCTTTCAAAATGTTATCAAATTAAGAAAAAATGATGCACTTTTAAATTATGCTATTCCTTTTTGTAATTTCCCTTTTTGTGTACTTTGTGCTATAATGACTTGATAATGATTTTCCTTTTCACATGATCCATTGTCCTGAATTTTGTTAAGTGCAGGCTCAAAAGTCAGCAGCTTTAGGTAGGTTTTGTTTCTTTCTTTTTAAGAAAAAGATAGTAAAAGGATGTATTATATTTTTAAAATTTATATGGAAATAAAACCAAAATGGTAACCACTTTCTTCAGTGATATAAATTTTTCCCTATGAAAATTTTATTTTCATTTTTCTTTAAGTTTTAGGATAGATAATAGATTCATATGGTCTATAAATTTAAAAATGTAAAATGTTTTACAGTGAAAATTTTCCGTCTCATCCACGCCAGCCAGAAACCTACTTCTCCTCCCCGTAGACAATGATATTTTGTCTAGCCTTCGTGCACACACAAAACTTTTTCCTATTTTTTCTATAATTTTTACATGTAACACATATTTTGTACTCATTGGTATTTTTTTCAAGAAACAATAGTTCTTCAATGTCTTTCCAAGAAAAAAAGGTTCCTTAAATATGTTTTATGAATACATATAAGTATTTTATTACATGTTTTGTTATTACAGACAATGATGCAGTAAATAAATTTACTCATGTCATGTAGTATATATGTATTTAGATCTATAGGATTCTCAGAAATCAAATTGTTTTATCAAGATATATACATTTAGCGTTTTGGTAGATATTGGAAACTTCCTGTCCATATTAATTACAATAATTTATTCCCTACAGCGATGTGTGAGAATTCCTTTCCCTGCCCCTTAATTGTACCAACAGAGTGTAATCAAATTTTTGCAATCGGTTAAAATGGTATCTTGGTACAGTTTTAATTGAAATTAATATTAAAATTTTTCTTATTTGCTATGAGGTAGAGTATAAAGACATTCTTTAGTTAACTTAAGGAATGGATTCCATTTCTATGATTTTATGGCTCCTCTAATTCAGCACCTATATCTCAAATTTAGCTGTCAAGTTAAAACAATCACATGAATTGTTCTTGATGATTGCTTCGGGGTTGGGAATGAGAGCCCAGGCCTACCTTGAGTGTCAACTATAGTGGTGCCTCACTGGGAATAGTTGAGAATAACTACCTTATTTTCAGAGTCAAGTGGCAGAAAGGATCTAACATATCATCTAGTTAATTATTTTGCCTCCTGAATGAACCATCACGAATTGGTTTATTATTCTAATAGATTCTAATTAGGATTCTAAAATTTCCTAAATAGGTGATTCCGCATGGGTGTCATAGGTGACACCCAGTTGTGTTCAATCAATCTTTGCCATAAAAAAATATTTAAATCACATTAAAATATATTGTAATTTTTGTTATATCTATAACAAAATTGAAAAAAAATGGTCACCTCCTGGACTACTTTCCTTTGGACTATGTCTCCAAATTTTTTTACAAAGTAATGCTACTGAGGATAGTTACTCTACCAGCTTATAAATTTGTTAGTGTTACAGAATGGAAACTAGAACATTTTAAGAGCTTACCTTTGAATTTTATCACGGTAGAAGCTGATCTTGTATCCTTTTTTTCACAGAGTGATTTGCAATCAAGGTCACCAGAAGCCATATTCAAAGTTTCTGATCCAGAATCTATCAACAGGAAGACGCTAACAGCATAAATACTATGCAAAAGGAATATTTGCCTATGTTCTTTACATTTGCACACATCAGGTCACAGAACATCAAGCTTATAGTTATAAAACTAACGGTCTATGTTTTATCTTTTCCAAGTCCACTCACCACTTGAAGTCACAGTACTCTCAGTGGATGAAGTGTGTCCAGGAGAAGGCAGTGTGGAATAGTCCCTGCCAAAGAGTAGAAGAAATATTTTGGGGTGCCAGGTCCAAAAATTCTCTTAAAAACTAACTGAATATGTGTACAAATTTACACATACACAACAGACAGGCAAACCTGGACTGCGGTAGGCTCTTAGAATCCAAATGTTCAGCACCATTCTCCTTAAGGTAAAAAAAAAAAAAAAGAAGAAGAAGAAATAAGTTCAACAATTTGATATTTTCCATTTCAGAAAGGTGGTTTTAAGTAAACATTTTCACACAAATTTAAATGAACCCATATTTACTTTGCTCTTTTGGAGAGGATATGGGGATGGAATGGTATAAGGAGATTGAAATATATACTTCCTCAAAGCTGTACTTGCAAAAAAATCCAATTTTAAGTATACTTACAAGCCTAATATTTAAAGAAGACCTGACAAATTCTTGGGAAAAACAAATTCTAAACTTAAAGGACAGATAGAGTTTATTTCATGAACTTAAGTCAAGTTTTCCTTAAACAGAACATTCTACATGGGCATAAAATATTCATATTTATGGAAATACTACTCAACCTAACCCTTTTGACATGGTGATTTAAAAATGGTCCTCAATTTTCTAACTAGACAAATCATACATTTGAAACTTAATCAAATTCTCAAAGATCTGAGGGATTACATGTAAGTCAACACCTATTACTTGGTGCTCAAAAAGAGCTTAATCAAACTATGGATACGGTCTGCTTGGACAAGTGTTTGAAAGTCTCGTTTGAACTTCTTAGTCTCTATCAGAAGTTCCTAATTTGAGGTGAGTTGATTCGTTCACTTACTCTATTTCAAAAAATACAGTGAGAACATGGCTTTCTCTTTAATAGTAAGCTTTTGTAATAAGCATATTTTCATAATTATTTGATCTATTTAGAAAAATAAATTAAAATTTAATAAATCAAAACTGAATCATTTGGACATAATCAAAAACCCGCACAGACAATGCAAAAATGAAGACATTTAAGTATTACATAATCAAACATAGACCTTCTTATTAATTGCAACCAACAACAGGTTTTAGTTAAGGGCTGCTCTATATCATACATGATATTTAGAATCCATCCAAGATAATATTGATTATAGCCACAGAAAAGTAAAGATTTAGCAAGAGTTTGCTGAACATGTAGTTACCCAATACAATAACAGCAGCTTATATCTGTTCAGCATGTTAAAATTTACAGAAGCCCTCATCTCATTTAATTCTCCTAACAACCTTATGCACTGGATTTTAGCAAGAAAATATTTACTTATTTTAGGTAAGGAAAGTAAAGCCAATAGATAAAGTAATTTCCCAGGAATATTCAGAATAGTGGTATCAGCCTCTAAACCCAGATTGGACTAAATACATTGTCCTCTCTGCTCTAAACAGAACTGTCTCTGAGATACCCTATCCCAGACTATTTGAGAAGCAAAGACTTCCCAAATATTATCTTAGACTGATAAATGATTTAAATATTCACCTTGAATGTTTAGAAAAAACCACAAATTTGCAAAGCAAGAATTCACACCTAATCCTCTTATATATCACCTCTGCTGTAAATGTCTTTGGATCAGACTATATGTGACAGAAGCTCCTTGTGACATCAGCTAATTTAATTCAAGAACTGTCATCAAAGGCCTGCTTTGTGCCAGGAATAATAACAAAAGCTAGAGAAACAGAGGAGCTCATAGGCCAGTCATGAAGGCAAATATGTAAAACAAATACTTTGTAAATTACAGGCTGCATTCCAGAGAGAAAAGTAATATTTTTAAAACATAACAGAGTGGGGTAATATTTAAATTAAACTTTGAAGAGAAATTGTGCCTTATACTATGCCTTATACCCTACAGGAAGTTAAATAATGATGGCCCTAACCTTAAAATATTTAAATAAATTATATTAGTAATTATTATGTGCTTATTAACTATATTCTTATATATAAGAAATAAAGCTAGAAAAATAAAAAAATAAATATTCTTCAGTTTTATTGAGTATCTTTCATAAAAGTCAATAAAAAAAATCAGGACCATTTAATATTCCATAACATATAAAAATGTGTTATTATGTGTGGCTTGAAATAACACTTATTACTGTGCTATAATCAATCATGTATATCACATATAATAATAATTATATTGCACTAACTGACAAGCTAATTTTGTCAGAAAAAGACTTCTTATTATATGAGGGTCATGGAAACTTGTATTTGAATTTTAAAAATATAAAAGAAATGCAGTTATTTCCTATTTAATTAAACTGATTTCCAGTATGGAGGGGGAAGTGACATCATTTCTGTGAACTTTGTTTTTTTTTTTAAAAAGACTCTTATTTGGTGTCAAAATAATGAATACAGCAAAAATACAGTTTGCCTCCATTATATTACAAATGTCTTATTTCTCAGAATGCTCTGTTGTAAGCCATTCTTTTGTCCTATACCTCATATGTGAAACATTTTAGTGAGAAGCCTTTTGATAAACATGAATACATATGTTGATTAAATAAGTAATAATTCTGTGATTTTGGAGAAATGTCAATTATTTAGTAGTCATATATTACTGCATTGTTCTGGAATAGTTGCAAGGTAAGCAATTGGCTATTATTCCCAATTCATTAATCTTATAAATCTCATTGATCAGAAAACAACCCAATATATAACATAACTCAATCATAGACTTTCATAAATTTGGTCTAATAACATTTTTTTCCTTCTTACAAAAATAACCAGACAAAAAAGGTTTGTTTTTTTTTTTTTTTTCCAAACGTAGGATTACAGTTAATGAAGGTTGGAGATATAAACTCTTAGTGGTTTGTCTGGAGTGCAGGTGGGAGATAATTCAGCAAAAACTTTCCATAATTGTGCTCTTTTCTTTCAGCTTCAAAAGTCACCCCAATTCAAACCAGTATCCTGGACCACAGGAGAACCTAACCCCCACATAGCTGTGAGACCTGGGCAGATCATGAAAAAACTATCCTACTGGATGTATTTTAAAACCAAAGAAAATAAAGAAATTGACTAAAAGCAAGCAAAAAATAAAGTTCAGATGAAAGACTTACTTACTTGTAGAAGATTGGCTCAAGTCAATGAGTCTAACACATGTCGATAAAATAGAGCAGGAAGAAGGTTCTTCCCGTCCAAGCTATTCAAATATCAGCCTGCATAACATTTACATGAAAATCCATGGTCCAGCCCATTTTCCTTTGACAGTAAGAGTTTAATGGAGGGTGGGGTAGTCAAGGTACTCAAGTAATAAACAGACAGATTCTTCCGTGGGTTGGGCCAACTAATGCTGGCAACACACACACACACACACACACACACACACACACACACACAGCAGTATTATTCCAATATTTAGAAAAATATGAATAAGAAATAACTTTTAAGATATTAGTAATGTCAATTAATAGCCTGAGATAATCTCCTGGGTTACTTTATTTTTGCTCTTCTAGATGAAATGTTACTTTATCTATATATTTTATAATCAAAAACCCTTCCACTAATGAACATTCGTGTTACTAATGTAATTTTTTACTATTAGATCGATTTTAGATGATACTACTCAAATAAATACTATTTTCTGAGGAAAAAAACAAACAAAAAGTGTCTTCATTCTAACTTAAAAAAAAAATACCCTTGACTCCATGTTGGTTTCAATATTCTAACAAAAGAAGGAAAATAGAATGACAAAAGCTTATAACTGCTGTAACCTAAACAAAACTAAATTGCCTCACAGGTTTTTTTTTTTTTTTCCCAATTCTAACTGGAAGGACACCACACCCTCAGATCTACAGGACACACCCACCACTTTGAGGTTCATTTATAATACAGTTATCAATCAACTTTCACATGTCCCAATTTTGCACTTGGCAATGTTATTTATTCTCCAAGGTTATTAATGCTGCACCCACATACAGCTTGAAAAAACAGGACAGGGCAGACAATAGCCAGAAAATCTGAGATATTTTAAAACTGATTCTGCCCTTTGCCTAATAAATCACCTCCTCCTAATAATAGTATATCTTAGACAAATACATGTAATAACATGAAGGAGACCTTGAAGGGATGGCAAGACACTTAATATTTGGTGTATGTGATTATTTTTTTTTTAACAGCCAAAGATAAAACAAATTTATTTTCATATCCCCTGACTTGTAACAAGATATCATGTGAGCTTCACACTGCTGATAATTCTGAACCTCGGTGATAGTTACAGCTGCTGTAACTATCTGAGTGTTTACTATGAATCATGTACTTTACATACATTATAGTGTCTTGGCAGGGTCAGATCTGAGATTGGAGTAGGTAGAGGGGAGAATTAGTTTTGTTTTCATAGAATTTTCATGAAACTCCAGTTCTTGGAGTATTTGAGGACACACACAGGCACCTAATCACATGTCTAGCTTTGCAAAGGCCTAGAAACCCTTTGGTTGCCATTTGGACTCAATAGTCAGAACAGTGGAGAAAAAGAGCATTGAGATTTGTCTTTTCTCTAAATATGACCTACTTGGTTTGTTTCCCACACACACACATGTGTATATAATGTATATATGTAATATATGTATATGTGTACATGCCTATTTGAATCTTCAAAACATGCAAAGTAATATCTCTGTTTTACAGGGGACACAAGCAAGAGGTTAGGCCACTTGTCCAAGTTCACATAGCTAAAAATAATAGAGTCAGTCTTGAATTCAGACCTGCTTGATTCCAAAATCTTTGCTAAATGGCTAAAAATTTTAAATCTTTACTGGGAAAAATTTCAAATAAATACAAAATTGGCAGAATAGAATAACTGACCTTTGTGTATGCTTCTACAGATTCAACAATTATCGACCTATGCCCAATTTTGTTTCATTGATGCTGCCTTCCTTCCAAACACACCCCTGTATTGTTTAGAAGCAAATCCAGGATATCATAAACATTTCTTCCATCAATATTTCAGTCTGAATTTCTAAAATACAATGACTTAAAATAATTTACTTCCTTCTTTCCTCTTTACACTAAAATACCCCAAATAAATGAATTTCACTGGGTCAGTAAAGTAGCTCTGTTCTCCCCAAGAATGTCCCAAACTAGGCTCCAAATTATGTTACTAAGAGATGTTCTTTTTAAGATACTAATCTCAGTTAAGTCCTTTGCTCAAAGATCTTCTTATGAATACTGACGTTCGGTTTGGTCTCACCCCGTACTTTCTGAAAAAAGAAAATGGTAGTAGATAGCTTCTTCTATGAATATGGGAGAGGAACTAAAAATAAATCTCAAGTTCTCAGGAACACCTGTCCAAAGAAAGGAGTGAGAAAACAATAGGGCAAGGCTATCAATTCAACAAGTTCGTCGAGTGTTCTCTCTCAATGTCTTAAATAGATCCTGTAGAGAGTACAAAAATAAGTAAATAGCCATTTGACAAATATTAATGGGGAAGTTACTGTATGACAAATCCATGTAGGGTGCTAGATGTACATTGCTTAATGGCCAAACAAAGGCATTCTCTGCCAAGTTTATAATCTACTACAGGAATAAATAGGAGAAAACAAATAAATACCATGCAACCGGAGTATAGGTGACAGAGGGGAGGAGAAAGAGTTACTGGGGTCTAAAAGAACTTTTTTTTCCTCAGTAGAAAAGATGAGAAATGAGGAAACTGAGGCCTGAAAGACATGACTTTTCCCTAGTTACATAGAAATCGAACTAGGTGAAGTCTTCTCATTTGACTTCGAACCCATTATGATCTCCACCTCAAAGAAGTACTCGAAATGCTTGACAAAAAAACATTTCTTGCTACTACAGGAAAGGTTTTATGAAACTGCTGGTTTTTGAAATGGGCTTTGACAGTCAAATAGAATTCAAGGAGCAGAGACATGTACAGAGTTCCAGCCAGATAGCACAGCATAAATAGGTTTGTGTGGTGTATTCTGACAATACACACACCTGGTGTGGCTGATGTGATATGTAGGGATAAACATAAGGCAGTGATGAGGAAAAGATGGAAAGTTAGTTGTGACCAGATTAGGAAGGGGATTGAAAACCAGGTCAAGTTGTTTGTTATTATGGCTCTCAAGAGTGACAAAAATTCTGCAGTTTGAAGACAAAGAGTTAAGAATATACGTGATTCTTAACTGGGCACTGGGATAAACACAGACTATGTCTTTTGTCATTTTTATCTCATATTTCATTTTAATTCCTATACTTATTATTAATGAGAATGCTTTAAAAATCATTTTCTAAAAAGAGTTTTCTGTTTGTTTAAGAGATTGGCATGGGGAGGCAAGTGGTGGGAGGGAGGGATTTACTCAAGGGACAGGCATGAGGGAGTGAAGCATGCAGTGAAGGGGCTGTATAGATTCTTCAATGGGGCAGAAACCTGGAAAAGGAATGGTGAAAATTGGCGGTAACGGCCACAAAGTACAGCCAAAAGACATTTTCTGGGGACTATAGGTGAAATGAAACAAGACAACGTGAAAACCTTCAGGGAAATTATACATTTCCCCAAGAGCATTTAATAGAAATTTCTATTATAATCTGTTAGCTCCTATTTTTTAATGGGTGTCAAAACCACAAACAATTTAGTAGCATATCCTAAAAAGAGTGGATTAAGGGGTCCTTTTAGATAAGAAACTAGCACATTTCTTAGCCAAAAACTACTTTCAAGGTACCTATAGGTAATTATTATGATTTAAATGTCTAAATTCAGTGTTCTAAGAGGGGTTGTGAGAAAGGCTTATCCTTCGAAACTAGACAAACCTGAATTTGATTTCAGGTTTGCTACTTACTGATTGAGTAATCTTGGGTAAATTATTTAAATTCCCTGAACTTCAGTTGCCTCATCTGTAAAAGCACAGAATACTTACCATCGAAGTTGTAAAGAGAATAACATGGCATGTGAAAATGCTTTCCTACAAAGTACCTAGTACACAACTGATGTTTTGTTCTTTTCCCTTGGTGAAATCAGTGCCACATAAAAGGGAAATTGCTAATAACCAAACATCCTGTAAGCTTCCAAGTTCAACTTCCTTTATTAAAACTTTACAAGAACTGCAAACAGCAAAATAGATTAATTTCCTTTTTCTTTTTTTCTTAGCTACTCAATCGGATCAGTACTAAGAAACAGAAAAACGTCAGATGCATACATTTAAGGAAAAATGAGAATACCTCATGTGTTCAGCAGTAAAAAGAAAAATAATCCGATTTTTAAAAATAACAAAAGGCTGGGAAGACATATTTCTAAAGAAGATACACAGATGGCCAACAAATACATAAAAAAAGATGCTCAATATCACTGCTATTACGGAAATTAAAAAATTTATGGTATATCAAAAAACTACAATGAGATACCACTTCACACTCACTAAGATGGCTATAATCAAAAAGATAGACAAGTGTGTTGACAAAGATGTGGAGAAATCAGAATCCTCATACATTGTGGGAATACTTGTGGGAATGTAAAATGGTGCGGCCACTTTGGAAATCTGTTTTGCAGTTTCTCAAAATGTTAAACATAGAGACACCATATAATACAGCAATTCCACTCTTGGATATATATCCCAAAGAACTAAAATATATGTTTACACAAAAACTTATATACTAATGTTCATAGTATCATTAGCCCGAAAGGAGACACAACTCAAGTAACCATCGAATGTTGGATGGAAAAACATAAAGTGGCATATCCATATACTGAAATATTATTTAGTCACAAAAAGGAATGAAGTACCTATAATATGGATTAACCTTGAAACCATTATACTAAGTGAAAGAAGCCAAGCACAAGGGATCACATATTGTATTATTCCATTTATATGAAATATCCAGAATAGGCAAATCTATAGCAACAGAAAGTAGATTAGTGGTTGCCTAGAGACTGGGTTTTGGTCAAGGGGGATGAGAATAAACACTAATGGGTATGAAGTTTCTTTTGGGGGTGATCAAATGTTCTAAAATTGATTGTTGTGCTGGTTGAACAACTCTGGATATATTTAAAAGTACTTAATTGAACAACTTAAATTGATAAATTGTTTGGTATGTGAATTATATCTCAACAAAGCTGTTAACAAAAACGAAGAATGATAGATTGCCAGACCCGGAAACAGAACTGTCTGCACCATATGATTGAGAACCTAGTGGAGCTCAGGCTATAGTCCAAGAAGGAGCTCCAGACACACATCCATGACCTAAGGAGTTTGCCTAAGTGACTTCACATTATTTGGTGTTATTCTCTTCTTGGGTGGAAAGTTATCATGAGAACCTCACTGCAGCAATAAATATTCTCTCTGTGCGTTGCCCTACTTTATGACATTTTTTTACAAAGTACCAGCACCTCAAAGACTATCTAGCCTTAAATTCAATTCTTAGAGAGTCACTAGGACCTGAGACTTTTTACATCCATTAGTGAATTTAAGTCTCAAACTAGCCTGGCTCTCAAACAAAAACTTCAGCACATTTCATCAAAATCTCTAGTTGGTTATATATCATTGAGTTTATACTACAGAAGGGACAGAATGACTCCAAAAGACTGAATTTTAATTTCCTGCCATCAAAGGTTGACATCATTTCTTACACATTTGATTTTTGTGGTTTAAGACTCATACTTGCTATAAGAGCGTCCATAATACAATTAATCTTTGAACAATATGTCATTTAGGGGTACCAGCCACTGCACAGATGAAAATATCCATATAACCTAAGTCAGTTCTTTGCATATGTGGATCCCCAACCACCAGTATTTAACAAATGAAGGAAGGAAAGAAGGAAAGAAGGAAAGAAGGAAAGAAGGAAAGAAGGAAAGAAGGAAAGAAGGAGGGAGGGAGGGAGGGAGGAAAAAGAAAAGGAAATACCCATAGAAGAGGACCAGTATACAGTAGTACTAAAATGAAGTTGAAATATAGTCCAATACTCACTTCCACACTTTGGTCATCATTCATCCTGATGCAACCTGAAGGAGCTGTTCCTGAGTGGGGACCAGCTGTAGGGCCTGGGAACCTGGCAATAGAAAGTAAAGTTCCTTATTACAGGTAGAAACTCTGCAAATTTTAGCAGATACCAAACTATAACATAGTTGCCCTCTCCCACCCAAGTTTTACCAAATTTCTAATTAAGTTCTATGGAATCATGGATTAAGTAGGACATAATAAAAGAGAGCTCCAAACTCCATCAGAGAGAGGTTACAAACCACAAAGAATCTAGCTGAAAATGAAAATGAATAATTTGCAATTCAAAGTCTTGCTTCCTCACCTTCAATACAGAACAGAAATTTCTTTGGGTTGGAAAGTGCTCGTAAACTCCACTGACATTTCTAAACTTTTCCTAGGGAAGATCAGTGTGTGTACTAAGAAGGGCAAATAAGTGCAGGTGAGCTTCAGCGGGTAGAGGTGGGAAGAGGGACAAGATCCCAAAATCTTGATAACTTTGAGTCTTGAGGAATAGAAATATGATCAAAATCTACCTGAATAAGTTAACTAAGCAACATATAGCATATTCCTAAAAACTAGGAAACATTTTATATAGCCTAATTTGTCTCTTACATTTCAGAATGGATACAGTAAAATTCAAAAGAGCAAAAAAACTACTTCAAGAAAACTATAATATTTGTTTTAAAATGCTCAATGCTCAGAAAGTTTGAGAATTTACACAATAAAAGTTCCACAATAAAGATGTTAGAATATCAGGATATGAAAATCTAACTCATTAAAAGTTGAGGCAGTAGGAACAGGTTATCCATAAAGAGGACGGTAAGTTTATCTTGTTCTTTTAACTTACTTGTGTCTTCTAGTCACGTCCAAAGCATCATCTTCTATTTCTCCATATTTGAGCCTTTCACATGAAGCATGGATTTGGTTGGCTACACATGAGAAAGGTGTCAATGCCAGTCTTGGAACTGGTATAAGACTATCCAGATGCAAGGCATCTGCAGTAGAACAGAAAATAATAAAAACAGAAATTTATTTCCAATTTAAACTATACATATATATAATATGTGTATGTGTGTATGTATGTATGTGTATAGATAGATAGATAGATTGATTGATTCTTTACATCTTGGGAGATTGGATCATTTCTTAAAAAGAAGAAGTCAATTCAATTCTATTATTTTAATATAACCCTCCCCACTCTTGATGCCTAGTTATACGGGGTAAAAATGCCAAAATTTCCTTTTTTCAAAGCAAGGGGCAAGGGGCTGGGGCAGGGACAGAATACCCTTGCCTACTAAGCAACTAGAGGGGTCAGTGATCTGTAGCCAGAGGGCAAAATCCAACCACCTGCCTGTTTTTGTAAATAAAGTTTTATTGGAACATAGCCACACCCATTTGTTCAATATTGTCTATGGCTGCTTGTATGCTACAACAGCAAAGCAGAGTAGTTGCTGCAGAAACCATATGGCCTACAAAACATAAAACATTTACAAAAACAGTTTACCATCTCCTAGAGAGAAAACCGTTAAACATTGTGATTGAAACCTGTGAGAGTGGTGCAGGAAATCGGGTGACAAACCATTTGGGGGGTGGGGGGACCATCTTGTTATTATTATTTTTTTCTGAGTATAAGAAGCAGCAGATTTCGTTAGGAAAAAAACAGGCTTTGGAGTCAATCACAAATTTTTAGTTCAAATTCTGGCTCTGCCACATACCAGTTGTGTGATCTTGGATAAATAACTAAACCACTCTGGGGCTTAGTTTACTTACATATAAAGTGATACATGACCTTAGGTAAATTACTAATTCATGTTCCTGTGTTTCCTTGTTTCCTTCTCTTTAATATGGGAATTATATTAGCATCTGCCTCATGGGGATGTGGTGAGAATTAAATGAGTTAATAGATATGTTAAGAGCAGAAAAATCATCTCTATAAAGAGCAGTCTGACAGAAAATGGCCACTACGTTAGTTTTCTCTTCTCTAGTTGAAATGATCCACAAATCAATCAGCTTTCTTTTTATTCCTTCTTAAATTTATTTTGATAATCATTCTATTTCTGTTGTCATTTTGGAACCAGCCATTAACTTTTGCTTTCAACCAGGTTGCGTCTCCTAAAATAGAGCTCATTTTCCTTAGCCTGGCATTGAGTCATGGCCCACAATTTGACCCACAACCCACTTCAAACTTATATTCTACTGTATCCTCTTGTTTCCAAAATGACTTTGACTCTTCTTCAAACACTTTTGCCTTCTTACTCCCTCTACACATGTCATTCTCCCAGTTGGAATAGTTTTTCCATATATTTTGCTTTTCCAAATGCAACTCATCTTTCAAGGCCTGGTCCAACTCTCATTTCTTCTACGGAGCCTTCTGAGCCCAGGTCTTATCTCCCCTACAATTTGTGAGCTATCTTAGGACTTATTGTCTCTTATATGTAACATGGCGCCTTACACAGAATAAATGCTCAAACATAAGTTGATTGAATGAATTCAGGGATAAAGATCCAAGTATTTAGCAACTCTTCCTGTTCAAATATAATCGTGATTAATTATTTTCCCTTTCAAAAAGGACCCTACTCCCAGCTATGTCTGAGAGGGTACAGAGGAGCTGCCGCCCACGCTTACCCAGCAGAGGTGTGTACCAGCATCTATGTTTGAAAGTTAGAGGAGTCTGATATATTCTTGTTTCTTGACCATTATATCGTTTATGGTAACACTGCTTCTGAAAAGAAAATCAATATAAGCTATCCAAAGGGGGATAACATAACATATTTTATAATCTACTCTCTTCATTTCCAGAGGTAGAAAGAATATCACTGATTTCACTCAAATAACCTTGCAAGAGAGGTCAGGAAGAAAATAAATGATGCCAAGTATCATGCTTTTGATCAAGAGGTATATCCTATGAATAAAGTATAATTCTTATTAAAAGTCACAGTAGAATAATTTAAAAGAATAATATACATCAGTAATTCCTTATAATCAACAGTTTCCTATAAAAGGCCTTGAGGAAAAAGAGGTATGAGTGAGGGGCAAACTTAGCTATTTAATTCTTCATGAAACTGCAATTGAAATATTTTAAATATTACCATTTCTTAGGGTCTATCAGAATTGTGTGTGTGTATGTGATAAAAGGAAAAAAAAAACATAGAAATAGATATCCATTGCTTCATCTGATAATCTCTCAAAGAAGAGTGGTAGAGTTCTCAGCATTCTATTTTAGCACAGTATTTGATTCACAATTGGCACTTAAATCATTTTAAGAAGCTTAAACTTACCAGTTGTTCTTGAAGATGCTGAATTCTATCTGTGCATGACAAGGGATCATAGTGAAGTAATTCCTCATCTAAACAGCTCTATCATGAGAAGACAATGGAGCATATTCAGACAGAATGATTAAAGGGTCAAAGATACAAAACATGTTAGACTTAAGAAATAATATTGCCTAAAGAGGGTAAAATTGACCAGTTCTTTATCTTGTGTTCTACTTTAAGGGAACAAGTTTATAATTGTTAACCTCTCATCGTGTTTTCCCCATTACTTGTTCAAGGAATAAAACCCAAAGACCAAAGACAGGAAACTGAATGGTTTTGTCATTAAAATCTTTAGGCAGAGGCCAAAGAAGCTGATTGGAGATATAACCCAGAATAGTAAAAAATGGTGCCTGTGAAAATTTTATAGCAATAAAATTGTGGCTTTAGTCCAAGTGGTAGCTACATATCTATCATAGTTACATTATAACAGAACATCATACTGGTGTTCTTGAAATGATTAAAGCATATTTAGATATGGAAGTTTTTCTAGTTCAACTTATTGTTAGGGGGCTTTTTAGGAACTCTGCCTAGCTTAATCTCTCACATGAATAATTTTTTTTTCCCTGCTTAAACAGATGTGCCTACATTATGCCCTGGAAAAAGATATGCAAATATCACCCTTCCTTCTTTCCTCCTCCAGCAGCAACCTTGCCATTCCTTATGTTCTTCATTTATGAACAAAAAGAAGAAATTCACCAAGTACCATAAGGAAAAAAATACATTAAACTCTATCAAGGATACCCTGAGAAATTCAAACAGAAAGAGTTGAAAGTTTAATTCAAACAGAAGAAAAAAGAGGCGGTAACCATCTAAGCCCATTTAAGGGTACACATTCAAGAGTATTGGAAGGGAAGTACATAAGACTAAAAACTGGCCCTTTTCTGATAGATATAGTAAATTCCGAAATGCTTCTTCTTTGAAAGGGGTTGTTAGGAGCCATTCACTAATATGAGTTTTCCTCTCTCTTGTTTTGCTAGATGCTTTTAGTGCCTAAGAGAACAAAGCCTACCAAGCATTTTCTTCTAAGTTGGTTATATAATTGCATGATTAAAATTATATCTTATAAATCAGCTTTAAAACCTTAAACAATTTGGACATCATTCCACACCAAACACATATCACAGATATATATTTTTTTTACCTGAAACAGCAAGCCATGGAGTCGTCCTTTTATTAACTTCTTTCTTAGTGACTTGATTGTTGCTATAAAGAGAATTTATAACCAGCTTAATATGAGAATTTATAACCTCCTCTTCTCTTAATTCATTTCATAAACTTTTAAGAACTTTAAATTTGGGGCTTACAGAAAGGAGAGAGAAGACAGTGACTTCTGAGAATGGCATCACAGCTCATGACTTGTGAAAACAAAAATGCAAGAGAATAAAGCAGGCCAGAGCAGCTAAACCATCATCACCCTTGGGTATTTAAAATTAACCTTGATAAATGCAAGTGAATTGCCTCTAGAAGTGAGTCACAGAATTATTCAGTCTTAAAATGGGAATACACCTTAGAGATCGTTCAGTCAAACCACCTACAAATGTGAAAATTCTCTCTCCAATATGCCTCTGCTTGAGCTACAAGTGATGAGAGCCCTAAAAGTGGCAGGCTAGAATCCCAGAATCCTACAAGTAGGTCTGAGATCACAAGAGCACTGACGTCCAGAGGATTTAAATGATAACTGGTTATTCATGGAGCTAAGATCAGTCATAGGACAGTGCTCGATTCACTAGACCTGTAGTGAAATTAAAAATATTTGTCTTTCTACTTAATTGAAATTCACTTCCTGGTAACTTCTAAATTCTCATCTCTGGAATAATGGAAATGGGAAAAAAATACCTATTTAATTTTTTGAGTTACATAGTGACATATTACTATTTGACAACCGATATTCTTTGAAATATAGCCAAGAACCAGAAAACAGGATCAAATCTTTTGAACAACCAAAATAGATGTTGATATCCATGCCCTTTATTCATGTGGGAAATCTATACACTTACTCAGAAAATGGGCTCTGAATTTATACATAATTCTCACAAGCTTAACTGTTTTCTCAGCCCACACAGATGATTAAAAACAAAACTTAAATGAGGGTAGAAAACTCTGCTAGATGGAGGTGTATTAATAGCTGCCACTTTTTTTTTTTTAATCACTAAGAGCCAGGAAAATTAACAGCAGATCCTCTCATGTCCAAAACATATAGAAATCTGGTGCTTCTTAATTTAAATACCAAGTTTGATATCTCAATAGCCCAAAGAAATTCTGAGCCATGAAAATGCTAATGTATGTTAAAAGAAGTACAAAATCTAATTAGAAAATTTTTTTCAGGAAAAAAAAAAACCAGTGCTTGAAAAGCTTCCATTATATAGAAAATTACTCATGTAAAATTCTATTTTGTAAGAATATTTTTTGTAAAAATAACTTATTTGTCAACTCAGCTTGAGATAGTGTTACTAGGCCCACTAAGAGGAAACTATATATTTAAAAAAAAATTTCTAACATATATAAGTTATATAATTTTTTAAAATTCTTAATACTTACAGCTCTAGTAAAAATTCCATTAAAAAAATTCTCCATGTTAATTGTATTTAGAAATAAAGCCTTGTCCTTCTACTGACCTACATCTAAGCAACAGCAACCAAAGCTTTTAAACTGGCCAACATTATGTTTTTGAAGGTCGTATATCTCCAAAACACTGTCTTTGAATTTCCAAATTAAGCTTCTGTTTCAGAAGAAATAAAAAATTAGTTGAAGACTGTCTAAATTGCCCATCTGCTTTCCCACCAGGCAACCTTAGATTTTAGAAATAATGCATCTCAAAACATTATTTCAACAGAGGTTTTGTGCAATGTGTAGCAACTATTTCCATGTGTTTTATAAGGCAAAACAAACTGGCTTATGCCCCTAATTTACGTTCACCTTTGCATTCTTCTTTACATGTTTGGAGGTGGATCTGCCCTGTCTCTAGGACATTTAGGTATCCACATAAAAGCAAGTAAAACAATGGCCACTATTCTCCTGCAATTGCCATTTGTGATGTAGGATGGGACCATGTGTCTTGGATACATTGCCTTTGAAGGAAGCTGAGATAAAACAACTTTCTGAATTGTGAATTAAGGTTTTCAGGCAAAGGCCCACAATTAAATTGGCTGTTGAAAATCAAAACCATAATATTAGAGCTATAGAAATGTTAATTATCAATAATGGTTGACTTTTATGGAGTATAGACTTTTATAACACAATGTATGTGTTACCTATAAAACTGCACATTAAAAATGTCAGTTTTCATTGAAAACCACAAACTGGAAAAAAATAATTAACAGTTCATATATCTGTCAAAGGACTTGCATCCAAAATATGTGAAGAAATCCTGCAACTCAATAATGAAAGGATGAATATCCTAATTTGAAAATGGGCAAAAGACTTAGATATTTCACAGAGAAGATATAGCCAATCAGCACAACAAATGAAAATCACAATGAGAAACTCAAAAGAGTAGTGAAATGTCAATCTTTTTATTGATACCACCAAATGTTGGAGCTGTGGAGCACCTGGAACTCTTGTACGTTGCTGATGGGAGTGTGAAATACTACAAACACTATGGAAAACTGCTTGGCAGTTTCTTAAAAGTTAGAGTTACAACTACACTATGACCTAACGACTCTGCTCCTAGATATTTATCCTATGTTAAATAAAAACATATGTCCACACAAAAACCCATACATGGATATTCATAGCTACTTTCTCCTGAACAACCCCAAACTGTATATGATTTAGATGTCCAATAGGAGAAAGGATAATCAAATTGTGGAATGTTCATACAAAGAAATACAACTCAACCTTGGAAAGGTCACACCACTGATAAACGCAACATAAGTACTATGCTGAGGGCAAGAAGACAGACATACATATAAAGCACATACTGTATAACTCAATTCTAGAATAGGCTCAACGAACCCATCGATGATAAGATCAGATCAGTGGTTGCTCTTTGTGGTGGTAGAGGGAGTCGGGGGAGTGACTGGGAAGGAGCACAAGGGAACTGTCTGGGGTTATAGAAGTTCTGTGTTTCAATGCTCATTTGTCAAACTGGTTGAACAGTACACTTAAGATCTGAACTTTTTATGGTATGTTAATTATTCAGTAGTAAAAAAGAATTTAAAAATATAACAAGAACAAAAATAACAGAGTTAATGAGATAAATAAGGTTAGGTAGAGACCACTAAAAAATGTATATACGACATCATAATCAGAGCACTAACACAAACACAATTATTAAATTATTAGCACCTAGGAAGATAACTTGGATCATGGAGACATGCATGTTAAAATGGCTAAAGGCTGCCTCTTCAGGTACTAGAAATGCATAAAACCAATAGAGTGAAAATGCTGGTGACACTTCAAATGGCACAGTGCTGGTGGGGTGCTAAGAAAATGCAGGTGAAGTGGAACTCTGAGGCAGTGGGGCTGCTAAAGTGAACGCAGAAGGAGCACAATCTGCTATAGCCAGAGCCCTCCGAAGCTGGGGTGGCACATCTCTGGGGAGCAAGGACCAGGTGTAGACACTTGTTTGTGATTTTCTTAGAATACAACTGAAAGGGCTCCTGCTACCTGTCAGCAGCCAAGCTGAGAGCTTTTTCTTTTCCTGTGGAAGGTTGTAGTTCTACTCCTTCCAACAAGATCTTAATCCCAGGAAAACCATGAATGAAACAATTTAACTTCCATTTTATGCTAACACGTAATTATTCATTAGTCAACCATGAATGAGGTAATTCATGTGATAAAATCTGCTCTAGCAGAACAGACTGTACCAGGTATGACCAAGCACTAACTACTGTTTTGCATTTGTTACATTATTTATAAATTAACAACAGCATTTTCTGGAAGAGGATATGGAGGCTCAGAGAGGTAAAGTGACTTTGCCTAACTGCATCCAGTTCTCTCTTGTAGACTTAGAATCAGAAAATAGGTTTGTTTAACTTCAAAGTCCATGCTCTTAATCATTATGCTGTACTGCCTCCTACATTATTTCACCCATACCTGCATCTTTCATTTGACAAAATTAGGCCTCCATCCCATCAGAGCTGTCAAGCAAGCTATATTTGACTTTGGTTTTCTCCTTTGTCCTTACCCCAATACTTATCTTAAAAGTACCTTAATCACCTGAATCCTCCTTCATTGTCTAATTTCCCTCTTGTGTATTGGCTGCTCAGGACATGTGGCCCTCACCTTACATCCACCCTCAAAGCTGCAAGGCTGTTATCTTTTTCATACCTCATGCCCTCCATGCTAAGAATGGCAAGCTAGAAGAGTTTCCAATGAGATCATTTAGTTGAAACCATTCTCTGAACTATAAAGTTCATATATAGACACTATGTTCAAATAAGGAATTATGATACACAGAAGCTTTTCTGGCTCTCTCCCCAAAGAAACATTTATAATTTCTAAAGGTAATTCCATAATAGTCTATTAGATGAGTGATTCAGTGATAATTTCATGTCAGACAGGGGCAAAAAAAAAAAAAAAAAGATGAGCAGTAAAGGGGTTATAGTTTGGATTAGATCAACTGGTCTGTTTCATGTACATTAGATTCACCCTAATATGTTAATATGTTGAAGCATACCCAAGCTTTAAGAAGCTTTATTTTCTTTTTAAAGCAAATATCCATTTATACGTCTAGCATTGCCTTAGTTAACACGATACTTAGATACATACAAAGGTAAAAAGCACAAGAAATATGTAAGTAACTATTCAAGAAATTTAGCAGTTTTAATAGCACATTTCACAGAGGCAAACATGTATGCTAATTACCTCACAAATCGGTCCAGTCCTGGGAGCAACTGAAAACTTGAAAAATACTATTTATTCCATGTTAAGTTCAGAATCTCTAATCAAGTGTCATGAACAACTTCCTAGTTCCAGTTCATGAACACTGTCATTGACCTGAACGTCTGAACAAACAACTGCATTTCCACACAGTTTGCTAGTAAAGCTTCTTAGATGTAGTAGAAAGAAATTGCCTTAAATATTTTGTGAATTTAAGCTAACCAGTTTCAAAAGAACTAAATGAATTTAAATATTTTTATTTTCTGACTCAGAATTCAAATGTCTGACTCAGAATTCAAACAGCATGTGGTGGCAGTGGTCATGGCGGAATGTGCAAGGGTGTTTGTGTGATAACTGTCCTACCTCAGTGACATTTGTTCACAGTCTAACTGAAAAATCTGCTGTATAGAGAACATTTTGAAAATATGTGCTACTAAATTTCTCTCTTCTTGCAAAACTTGACTTTTAAGGCAATTATTAGGGATATCTTCATAAGCAAATGGTCTTAAGAGCAAAATCTTGATATGCATGCCTCCTTTGGGCAGCAAAAAATAAGTAAAGGAGTTCATAAAGCCAGGCAGCAGTTTGTAAGCCAAGCAGCTGAGTTGAATATTTTAATAATTTTAATAACATTTGGATAAATTATCCTGAGGATAAACTAGGACGATAATAGCAAGTTTATAATATCAAGAATGTACATTTTGGGTTAAGTTACAAATCTTGACTCAAGAAGGTACTACAATGAAATCATGGGGGATTGGGAGAAGAGATAAATTCTTAGTGTTATAAAACTATGGGGGCTATAATATTGATTTAATCAAAAGATTAATATAACTGACCAGAAGACCAGTCCTCTAAGCACAATGTTTAAAGCAAACACACCATAAAACAAATTTGGTATTATTTATGTCTCAATGTGAACACTTCTAATCATAAGAGAAACTTCTCTACAGCCCTCTGAAAAATAATAAAATAAAATAACACAGATTATGTAATTTAAAGCATGTCTTACATTGTGTAATAGAGTGAAGTACAGTAAACTGATACTTAGAGTTATTAAAAGCTAGTAAGTTCTACAAGGTTTAAAAATAATAAAATGTTGAATAACCACTATTTTAGAACTAGCCAGTTCCTTTAGAGTCTTAAACAGCTTTCTCAGATAAATAGTAGAAAGGGTACAATAAATCCAAAACAAACACATGTCTGAAAAGTTCAGCTTCTAGCTTACTTGAAGCTCATATTTAGTGTTATTACCCAAACCAATTGCTTTCCATAAAAAAAGATCACTTATATTGCTAGAACAAGAAGTTGGCCAAACAAAAGCAGTTGTCTGATAAGTGGTCATATAAATAAGCTTCTTTTTTTTTTTACTAAATTATGTTTCTAGAATAAAATAAGCTTACGAAAAATTGACACCTTTAATTTGACTATTGCCTTCTCACCTAAATCCTTAGTAAACACTTATCCACTTTTAAGTAATACAGAAAAACAAAAAATATTTAAAGCAAAATACATAGGTAAAGATCATTTTAAATATTCAGGAAGAATTTTCACACATATTTAATATTTTGATACACATTAAATTCATAAGTATTTTGCCCAACCCTAAAATTCCTACTTAAAAGAAAATAGAGAAGCAGAGCCTTTTCTACCATATGATGGGTACGAACAAGCTAATAAAATCAGGGTAGAATAGGTAAACAAATTGCAGGTTCGAATGTCCCATGGGAACAAGATGTTTTTCCTTGTTTATTTTTATAGATATTGAGACATTTTATTTAATTTTTAAAGAAATATCACTGACAAATCCAGCTTGTAATAAATAACCAAAAGGAAAGTAAATGGTTAAATCTATCTACCTACCCACTAGGCAAACCTCTCTGAAAGCCCACAGTGGTGCCTTCTGAAAGCAGCTGTAATCTATAAAAATGGCTAGAGTCCTTCTGCTCCACCTCAAAGTGAACTAAATTGGGAAAAAACAAATATTTGCTACTCACTTTTCAGTTTTCTTGTCTTCTGTTCCAGTGTCTGGCAAGAGTTCACTAACTCGGTATTTATAGTCTGGAGACTCAGTTGTTCTGAAATTGCTTCCTCTAATTTATGCAGCAAAGACTTAGCTTTTTCACTGGCAGAGTGGGCTGTGCCATCTCGATCCTCAACCTAAAGACGTACAGTTAATACTGGATTTTAGCAGTATGGCCGAGAAAGAAAGCAATTGAGCGTTTACTTTTATGCACAGGAAACTGAAAATGTGCTTTTCTTCTCAGGGAAGTGATAAGCCTCTACTGAACTTCTGCAATTCTGTGTTTGCATGGGCTTTGTATGCCTGAGCTATTTCTACAGCCGTTAAAATCCTCATATGTCAAGTTGCCTCTTTCTGCAAAGTTGTTTCTCATCAGTAGGCTGTTGACACCGCCTCTTTTACAACCCCCCCTTTACTTCCTCCGCTTGCTAGTCTTGAGGGATTGAACTTTGCAGTTCCTCTTTGGGTTTTTTTCATTCCGTCTCCATTTTTACTTCATGGTTTTAAGAACAGCTGAGGAGACTTCCTTTGAATATAATGCAGTCAAAACCGCCTTACCTGCTCCTCTGCATCCTCCAGCCTGGCTTCTTGGACCTTCTTCCTGAGGATGACTTCCTGGTTGACAGCATCTTCTTGCAGTTGTTTAATGGCTTCTAGTTGTTTCCGTCTGGAGTTTAAGAAAAAAAGCCCAAACCACAAGCTGTCAGTGACATTTCAACTAATAGTCACCCCTGGGAAGTTGTGACAAATTCAAATTTTATACACTTCCTCAGAGATCAGAGGAAAAAGTGAAAGTGTTTACACACAGATAAATACTTCACAATCATAGGATTTTAACTAAAGTAATCATATTGCTCACTTAGCCTGAGACCTTCACTTTACAGATAACATTTAATTTCCTATTTTACACTGAAATATTCAGTTCCTCACAAGCTACATTCATAGTACTTTGCATCAGTTGGCAGTTGCTTAGAGGATGGCGCTATAATGAGGTCACTGTGCCAGGTGCAATGTTTACACATGACATCTAGATTTTTCAGAAAAAGAAAGAAAAGGTGAAAGAGAAAAAAAAGATATGAGCTTCATTTCATAACCTTAGCCTTTCTTCTTAACAGTTGTCAATTATGGGATATATGTGTGCCATGAGCACAGGAAAGGCTGCTCCCAAACACAGATGAAATCTGGCTGTTAGTATTTCCACTGCGGTCGGCTCTTTTCTGAAGACTTTCCCCTCCCTTTCTTCCTCACCCCAAATCTCTTAGTGTTGTTATGTTACCTCCCTTTTGGATCTGACCTTAATCTCAAAATTTATAAAAATGCACCTACTATCTGTTAGCTAATGAGATTATTTAAACTATGCTATATAACAATATATCAATGACTATCTGAAAACAATTTGACCTGAAAAAGGACCTTAGCTCAAAGGGAAGAACAACTTTGGAAGTTTCAAAGCAGTGAGAAAGACATCGTCAAGTTGAGGCCTCCTGTGTGCCTCTCAAATGTTAATACATAGAATCTCAATGAACATCATCATGAACCTGCTCTGATTACAAAAAGGACCACATGAGAGACAAGGATGATCTCAAAGAATGTTTTATCACTACGGTAAACCAGCACACAAAACAAAAACTCTAAATGAAAATAAAAACTACCTAAATACATTCTACTGAGCAATGTTCAATAGCTTCAATTTTTTTTTAACTGTGATAAGAACACTTAACACAAGATCTACCCTCATACACATTTCTAAGTGTACAATACTGTTAACTATAGGCACAGTGTACAGCTCTCTAGAGCTTATTCATCTTGTGTAACTAAAACTATACACGTTGAATTGCAACTCCCCATGTCTTCCTCCTTCAGCCCCTGGAAACCACCATTCTACTCTGCTTCTATGAGTTTGATAACTTTAAGCTCCTCATTTAAGTGGAACCATCTGTATTCATCCTTTTGTAACTAGTTTATTTCACTAAGCATAATACATATCCTCAAGATTCGTCTTTATTGTGGCATGCAACAAGATTGCTCCCTCTTTTCAGGCTGAATAATATTTCACTGTATGCATACACCACCTTTTCTTTATTCATCCAACCACTGAAGAACACTGAGGATTTCCCACATCTTGGCTATTCTGAATAATGCTGCAATGAACATGGGTGTGCAAATACCTTTTTTTTGAATTTGAGATTTTGCTTTGAATTCTTTTGGATTTCTACCAGAAGTGGGATTGCCAGATCATATGGTAGTTCTATTTTTAATTTTTTTAGGAACCTCCATGTTGTTTTCCATAACAGTTGCACCATTTTACATTCCTACCAACAGTAAACAAGGGTTTCAATTTCTCTACATCCTTGCCAACACTTGATATCTTTTGGGTGTTTTTTTTTTAAATAATACCCTTCCAGGTGTGATTCATTCATCATTGTGAGTGACTCATCGTGGTTTTCATTTGCATTTCCCTGATGATTAGTGATGTTGAGCACCTTTGCATGTGTCTGTTGGCCATGTGTATGTATGTCCTCTTTAGAGAAGTGTCTATTCGGTTTCTCTACCAATTTTTAAACTGTGTTGTCCTTTTTCTTATTGAGTTATAGAAGTTCCTCATATATTTTCAATATAAACCCCTTATCGGATATATGGTTTGCAAATATTTTCTCACATTCCACAGGTTACCTTTTCACTCTGTTAATTCCTTTGCCGTGCAGAAGCTTTTTAGTCTGATATAGACCCACTTGTCTATTTTTTCTTTTGTTGCCTGTGCTTTTGATGTCATATTCAAGAAATCATTGCCAAGACCAATGTCAAGATTTCTCCCCACGTTTTCTTCTAGGAGTTTTACAGTTTTAGGTCTTATGTTTAAGTCTTTATTCCATTTTGAGTTGATTTGTGTATGCGTTATAAGGGTTCAACTTTATTCTTTTGCATGTGGATATCCAGTTTTCTCAGCACCATTTGTAGAAGAGGTCATTGTTTCCCATTGTGTATCCTTGGCACCCTAGTTATAGATCAGTTGACCATATATGTGTGGGTTTACTTCTGAGTGCTCTATTCTGTTCTATTGGTCTATATGTATGTCTTTTGGCCAGTACCATATTGTTTTGATTACTATAGCCTATGATATATCTTGAAATCAGGAAGTGTAATACATTTAGCTTTGTTTTTTCTCAAGATTATTTTGGCTATTTGCGGTCCTTAGGATGTTTTTTCTATTACTGTAAAAAAATACCATTAGGATTTTGAAAGGAATTGCATTGAATCTGCAGGTTACTTTGAATAGTATAGACATTTTAACAATGTTAAGTCTTCCAATCCATCAAGGTATCTTTCCATTTATGTCTTTAATTTCTTTCAGCAATATTTTGTTGTTTTCTGTATACAAGTCTTCGCCTCCTTAGTTTATTCCTAAGTATTTTATTCTTTTAGATACTATTTTGAGTAGGATTGTTTTCTGTTCCCTTTTTAGATAGTTCATTGTTAGTGTATAGAGATGCAACTGAATTTGTATGTTGATTTATATGCTGAAATTTTGCTGAATTTTAGTTTTAACAACTTTTTGTGGAGTCGTGTTTTCTACAAATAAAATCATGTCATCTGCAAACAGATATAACCTTACTTCTTCCTTTCCAATGTGGATACCTTATATTTCTTTTTCATGCCTGTCTGCTCCAGCTAGGACTTTCAGTACCATGTTGCACAGAAGTAGTGAGAGTGAGCTTACTGGCCTTATTTCTAATCTTAAAGGAAAAACTTTCAGTCTTTTACCATTCAGTATGGTGTTAGCTGTAGGCTTTTCATACATAGCCTATATTAAGTTGAGGTAGTTTCCTTCTATTTCTAGTTTTTTGAATATTTTTATCATGAAAAGATGTTGAATCTTGTTAAATGTCTTTCTGTATCAATTTAAATGATCTTATGATATTTATCCTTCATTCTGTTAATGTGGGGTATCACACTGATTTATGTTGAACCATTCTTGCATTCAAGGGATAAATCTCACTTGGTCATGCTGTATAATCTTTTTAATGTGCTGTTGAAATTGGTTGGCTAGTATTTTGTTGAGGATTTTTGCATCTACATTCATTAGGGATAGTGACCTCTAGGTTTTTGTTTTGCTTTGGTTTAGTTTTTTGGAGTGTCTTTGGCTTGGTGTTAAGACAATGCTGGCCTCATAAAATCAATCGAGAAGTCATCCCTCTTCTTCAATTTTTTGAAAGAGCTTCCAAAGGATTTGCATTAATTGTCTTTAAACGTTTCATAGAATTCACCAATAAAGCCATCTGGTCCTGGGTTTTCTTTGTTGGGAGGTTTTTGATTATTGCTTCAATCTCCTCACTAGTTATTGGTCTGTTCAGATTTTGTTTCTTCCTGATTCGGCCTTGGTAGGTTGTATGTTTCTAGGAATTTATTCATTTTGTCAAGATTATCCAATTTATAAGTGTATGACTGTTCATAGTAGTCTTTTATGACCCTTCCCCCAATACCCTGCCACCATGGCATCAGTTGTAATGTCTCTTCTTCCATTTCTAATTTTATTTATGAGTCTTCTCTTTTTCTTGGTCTAGCTAAAGGTTTGTCAATGTTACCTTTCAAAAAAAACAGGTCTTCATTTTATTGATTTTTTAAAATTGCTTTTTATTCTCTCTGCTCTAATCTTTACTTTCTTTTTTGTGCTAACTTTAAACTTAGACTGTTCTTCTTTTTCTAGTTCCTTGAGAAATAGCCTAAGCTCTCAAGAGTATCCATTATCTTCCAAAGCAGGGGTTCTCAACAGGGCTGTATAGCAGGAGGTGAGCAGCGGGCAAGCCAGAGAAGCTTCATCTGTATTTGCAGCCACTCCCCAGCGCTAACCTCACAGTGGCCTCAACTCCACCTAAAACCATCAGTCATTAGATTCTCATATGAGCGCCAGTGCCTGGTGCCAAAAAGGTTGAAAACCACCGTTCCAAAGGAAAGCAAAAGGACTATAAAAGTCAATAGAAAGCCATACTTAACAATATTGAACTTTTGATCACTTACATGTGTTTGCATGTATAAGAAAATAAGTTTTATGTACGTTATGAATCATAAATCTTAGAAATAGCTATTTAAAAATTAGATAGGCCCATCTATTAAAGATATTTAGCAGACGTGGAA